AGGCACATGTACCCCAATGTTCACAGCAGCACTCTCAACAATAGCCAAAACTAGAAAGAACCTAAGTTTCCATCAACTGATGAATGGATTAAGAAGACATGGTATATTTATACAATGGAATACTACATGGCAATGAGAAAGAATGAAATCTGGCCATTTGTAGCAACATGGATGGAACTTGAGGGTGTTAACGCTGAACGAAATAAGTCAGGCAGAGAAGGATAGATACCATATGTTTGCACATATAGGTGGATTAGGAGGAATTTAATGGATGTTTATGNAGGGAGTAGAAGGGTAAAAATAGTTGGGGAGAGGGAGGGAGGCAAACCATGAGAGACTCTTGAATGCTGAGAACAAACTGAGGGCTGATGGGGGTGAGGGAGAGGGGAAGGGGGTGATGGGCATGCGGGAGGCCACTTGGTGGGATGAGCACTGGGTATTATATGGAAACCAACTTGACAATAAAGTAAGAAAAAAAAAGAGTCTCTTGTGGTTTGGCTCCCTCAAGGGGAGGATTTTTAAAATAATATACCAAATGTGTAAGCTGTAAAGGAAGAGATTTGTAAAGAGTCATATTTTAGAAAATAACATCTCTGAAGAAAGATAAGAAGAATTATGATTATTTCTCAAAAACTGAAGTTTTAAGAGACAATGAAGTGACCGCACTAGGGTTGTTACCTAATCTACAATACAGTAAATGTACTGTCTTAGTTATTGAGTGTGTCATAAAATTATTTCATCTAGTTTCACCCACAGCTTTCCGACTGGGATTTGATAATGGCACTATAGAGAAAGAAAAGGTATATATACACAAGACACAAAGACAGTGATCAGTTTCATTTTGTTTTGCTTTTCTCTATGAAGGACAAACAAATGGGTTTCACATGAGGAACAATATTTTGATAGGAAAACAGCCATTGGAATGGATTTCTTTTTTTTTTTTTTTAAATATTTTTATTTATTTATTTATTTCTAGGAGAGAGAGAGACAGCGTGAGCAGGGGAGGGTCAGAGAGAGAGGGAGACACAGACTCGGAAACAGGCTCCAGGCTCTGAGCTGGCAGTCAGCACAAAGCCCGACGCGGGGCTCGAACCCACAAACTGCGAGATCATGACCTAAGCGAAAGTCAGACGCTTAACCGACTAAGCCACCCAGGCGCCCCCTCTGTGGAATGGATTTCTGAAGGAAGTTGTAGGATTCAATGTGTCCTTTTTCATATCATGAGAACATATTTCTCCCCACAGAGCACTGAGACTCTAGAAAATTTTTCTGCTCTCCTCTAAGACAAGTATTCTTGCCTGCCCTTGAAACAGATGTGTAACTTTTAGTTTATGCCCTAAAAGAGTAGCTCTTATATAGTAGTTTGCATTAGAATCATCTATAGAATCTAGAAAATAAAATTCACATCTTGAACCTGATCCCACTGACATTGAGTTAGTAAGTCTGGCTGGGACCCTGGCATATGTATTTTTAAAATGTATACTCCCTAAGTGATTCTGGTGTGAAGCCCTGGTTGAGACCTATTCTTATAGACTTTTGGACTCCTGACTATGATTAAACATTCTGCTTTTTTACACTCTGTACCTCAAACCTTATGAGCGATCCCCACCCTTATGTTCTTCCATCTATTTGATCACTTGACTCTCCCATGTCCTTGATCAATAACCCATACTTACATGCAAATCATATTAACAAATAATGTATACAGCAAGCAGGTAGCCTGTTAGCACCAACTCTCTGGCTTAGCATAATGAAATGAGAAGACTGAACCGATGAGAAAATGCTGAGAAAGAGAAAGAATGACAGAGTGCTTGAAAGCACATCAAGATTGAGGCCTAAAAAAGGAAACAATAGAAAGCTCTTGTCAGATGGGAGGAAGTGTCCAAACCCTATCCCTCCTCCCTTTATCTTTCTGTGGAATATTACTAATAGCGTAATCTCTGCACCAGCTGTCTCCTTGCCAACAGCTTCCCTGTTGGTTGCTTAATCTCAGTGGGACTGATACAAAAGTTCCTTTATTTCCCTTTCTAGGAGGCAGGGAAGGAGACAAATTTCTCTTCTTCGCATTACTTTGTAATTACTTCCATTAATGCACTATAATTTTTTGAAATGGCTAGCTACTCCCATGAAGGCTTTTTCTTCTCCAATCTCTCAACAGAAGCTAAAGTCCCTGTGACAAGGTCACTTTCCCTTCATGCTTACCACCTTCCGAAGTTAGCACAGGAATTTAGGACAAACAATAAAACTGGCCATTTCTTTCACACTGTAATTTTTGACACACATGGTTGGATGAGCAAAATTACAGTGGTTGAAAGAGATATTGAAAGATGCTTCTTCACTGGGACCACTGCTTGTAGTTTGAAGATTTCTAAAAGCTGTTTCAATTGCCCTTAGGGATAATCTTCCTTTGCCTCTAAAACAATTCCATGGATAAAGAAGATGTGAGATATATAGATATATATAGATATATATAGGTATATATACACAATGGAATATTACCTGGCCATCAAAAAGAATGAAATCTTGCCAGTTGCAACTATGTGGATGGAGCTAGAGTGTATTATGCCAAGTGACATAAGTCAGCCAGAGAAAGAAAACGACCATATGATTTCACTCTCATGTGGAATTTAAGAAACAAAACAGATGAACACAGGGGAAGGGAAAATAAAGAGAAAGGGAAGCAAACAATAACAGATTCTTCAGTTACAGAGAATGAACTGAGGGTTGTTGGAGGGGAAGTGGTTGGGGAGATGGGTTAAATGAATGATAGGTATTAAGGAGGGTACTTGTTATGATGAGCACTGGGTGTTCTATGTAAGTAATGAATCACTAAATTGTACTCCTGAAACCAATATTACACTATATGTTAACTAACTAGAATTTAAATAAAACTTTGAAAAAAAAATTCAAGTGGCATATCACAAAAATAAATAAATAAAATAAACAATTCTATTCACTATGGTAAATGTTGGGCTTAAACTCTTAATATCAATTCTTGGTTTGATGAAGACCACTATATTAAAGAAAAAAAAAGTCCTTGACCAGCTACTGAGGCAACATATGAAATGAAATTTCTAAGAATCTTGTGGGAATTTTATCAAATTTCAACATTACTATAAACATCTTGTCTCCAAAATATTCAAGCATAGGGGTGCCTTGGTGGCTCAGTCGGTTAAGCGGCCAACTTCAGCTCAGGTCATGATCTCACAGTTTGTGGATTTGAGCCCCATGTTGGGCTCTGTGCTGACAGAGAGCTCAGAGCCTGGAGCCTGTCTTTGGATTCTGGTACTCCCTCTCTCTCTGACCCTCCCCTACTCACACTCTATCTCTCTCTCTCAAAACTAAATAAACATTTTAAAAAAAAATTTTTTTAATTTAAAACAAAAACAAAACCAAACCAAAATATTCAAGCATAATAAGCCCATGTAAGGGTGTCTGAGTTAGGCCACCATTAAAACTAATAAGCCACACTTGAGAATATACTTAATCAAGCTATTTGCTATAAAAGCCTAGATTGCAATTCATGCTGCACTGAGAAGCTTACGCTTAGCAACTTTATCCTCCAAGAACAACCATCTACAAAGCTAGTGCCCAGGCTTCTTTCTGACTAGGTGTCTAAGTAAGTTTTGGAATTCTGGGGACATTTAAATATTTGTGGAATTCACTACTGGGGCACTATCATATTTAGTCTATGTCACAAGCAAAGATGATACTCCCATGATTTATTGTGTTTCAGCCAATGTCAGTCACAAAAATGATCATGGAGACTTGAGTTCTGATACTTGGTCGCTGTCTGTTATGCTGGTTGACAGATGAAAGAAGCAGAATAAGAGCAGGTGTTTCCCTTCAAAGTGATTCTCTAAAAACAGAAACTTTACAAACTTGTTCAGCTGGCATTTCAGAAGTTAGGAGGTCAACAGATATTTATCAAGGGTCTGCTATGTGCCATGCCCTGTTCCAGGCACTGACAATACTATGGAAATCGACACAGATAGAGCACCTGTCCATCCACAGAAGGAAGAGGACAAGAACTCCTCAAATAAATACTCTACTGGAAGAATGTTTCTGAAGTCTGGCTTAATTGTGCTGAGGATGTGTTAGATTTCTTTTGACCTTGCTACTACTCAAAAGTTCTACCCATTTATTACCTAGCATCAAAGACCTTCTTACTCCAAAATCAAAGTTAAATCTGAAGTTTTCTCTACTTCCTCTTTATATTGTACTAAGTTAGTTAGATTTACAGGTTTTCATTTTAGAGATTACTTAGATTACAAAATTCTCTACACATTTATGAATCTTTCTTTAATAATAGCTTATAAAACAAATTTTGTCTATGAGAACATTTTTAAGTGAGCAAACTAGTAGTAAAAACAGGGTAATTTTTTTTTTCATTTTCATGTTTCTGATCCCTCCCCCCTCTCCCGTAGAAAAAAGTCATCAAAACAAAACCACAAGTATCAAGAGCTAAGTCCTTCTTATTGGATGGGCCCCCAAAGCCATCATGCTTTTATTGTATGATTTCTGTACCCTATCTTACCTAAGTTGTTTAGCTTTCAGTTTCATAATCTAGTAATTCTGGTTTCATCGTTTTTCTGCTTAACTTTTTTTTTTTTAACATTTTTTTAATGTTTATTTATTTTTGAGGAGAGAGACAGCACAAGTCAGGGGGGCGGGCAGAAACAGAGGGAGACACAGAATCAGAAATAGGCTCCAGGCCCCAAGCTGTAAGTACAGAGCCCAGCACAGAGCCCGACAAGGGGCTTGAACTCGTGAACCATGAGATCATGACCTAAGCTGAAGTCAGATGCTTATCCGACTGAGCCACCCAGGTGCTCCTTTCTGTTTAACTTCTTCAATGCTTGCCCAGATAAGAGCCTCTGCCTGCTTAACCACATCTGAGCCTTACCAAGGTCAATAAGATGAATAACAAGGTGATAAGTTTACATTCCACTTCCCTCACGGGTTTTGTAAAAATATACATATATATTTTTTACACTTACCAGGCATAGGACAAGGTATGTGGGAAGGGGCGCCAAGCTCCATGCCCTCTCTGGGAACACCACTCTCCTAGCACCTCCACGTGCTCACCAACCTGGTATCTCTGTAAGAACATTTTAACAGCAGATTGAAAAGGGGGTAGTTATTATGTATTTGCAAAACCACAAACACAGATACATATATACGTGTGTGTGTGTGTGTGTGTGTATTTTTTATATGTGCAGTTAAGAGGTAATTTTCAGGGTTTAATCTTGGTAGTCTAGAAATTAAATTATTTAATTATGGCATTTAAAGTAAAAAAACTCCCACAATTTGGGACAATATTTAAATAAGGCTATAAATCTGGGACAAATGAAAAGCTGGGAAAAATAAGAAATATAGCTATTATAAAAAAAGCTATACCACAGTTGCTTATATCAAATAGTTCCCACTGAATAAAAGTACATTTTAATATCTTGATACCTAGTAGGCAATTTGGTTTAGACAATCATTCAAAAACCACTTATGGAACACCTAAGGATACAAAGATTAACCTTATAAAGATTATGCCTTAGCCTGATATAAATTCATATATTGCATGGTATCAATGTTCTTAAATTATTTTATTTTATGGGTGGATTTTGTATACCTACCTAGTTTAATATACAGTAGTGGCTTTTAAAATTGTTTTAGAAAAATATTTACTGTTAGGTATTGTTCACATTTCCACATAGCCAAAATAAACACTTTATGACTTATTTCATGCTTTTTCTTGATAAAATTAATGCACATTTTTTTGGTAGAAATTTTGGGAACTATTCTACACAGGAAAAAAAAACCATGGCTATTTTCACCACTTAGAGATATTTACTGTTGACATTTTCTTCTAGAATTTTTTTCTACACATTTGATTGTAAGTAACAAAAACCCAATTCAAAGTGGCTTAAACAATAAAGAAAATTGGCCCACATGAATGAGAAGTCCATGGTCTTTAGGCCAATCATGGCTTCAGGTAAAGCTTGATTCTATAACTCAGTATGTCATCAAGGACCTGTTTGTTTCCTTTTCTCTGCTGTGCCTTCCTTGAGGTCTGCATCATTCTAAGCATAGCTCCTCTCATGGTCCCAAGATGGCCACCAGCATCTTCCTCCTGTCCAGCAAGCAAGAGACAGTATTCTCAGCAAAAGTCCTAAGAGTCATTCATCAAACTACCTTAGGGCCAATGCCCACCCTGACTCAATCACCAAGTCCAAAGGGATGGAATGCACTGATAGGATAGCCCAGGTTAGTCACACTAACTCTGAAGGCAAAGTGCAGTTAATTTCTCTGGAATCACATGTAACCCTAAGAGAAATGGAAAGGCAATAGTGTTTTAAAGAAACTAAATATATTTTTTTAATCATATTAGACATAGGTTTTCCTTTTTGCTCATCCTTGATTAGACTCTACAGATGGTCTAGAGTGCCACTTTTTCAAGGAAGATCATACTCAAAATTTTAATAAAGAATACTTGATAGGTAAAAAAAATCATATAGATCTATATGTATGGATAAAAATGTTAATTATATATTATTAAATTTAAAGAGTTACTTAAAACCATGTGTATAAAAAAATCCTATGACCCGATTTTCTTAACTAATCTATATATGCATAGAAGAGAGATACATGCATAATAAAATATACATGAAAATGTACAGAAATTATCTGTATGTGTTGTGATTTTCACTTTCTACATTCATAATCAGAAAAAAAATTAGAGCTACTTCATTATGGAAAATGTAAAATTTTCCAGGAATCTACATGATATAACACTGCCTCAACATATATCCTACATGACCCTTGTCATTATACAAACCACTTGGTTTATTCTGTCAATCTTGATCAGCTGGAGTTGGGGGAAATGAGAGTATCAGTGTTGCAGGATTTTTTTACATCAATACCTGGGGTTTGTTGTCTTGCTGCTGCAAAGAATGAAGAGGTGGACACAACATGAGCAGCAGGCAAAAGTTTATTTAAGTATAAGATTAGAAAGTAAGGATAGTAAGAAAGCTCTCTTTACAGAGGGGACATTTGAAAGTGAATGCCTGTGACTGTAGGCAAGGGTCCTTGTTTTATAAGGTACTGGTCACCCCACCTTCTCTTACGTTCCCCTTTGTTCCCCCTCAAGTTCTACCCTTATTGGCTTGATAGCTCTCGTGCTGGGTTGTCCATTCCTGATTGGCTCATTTCCATTGTATGAGGGGTGGTCTATGACCACGCCTTTCCTTGTGGGTCATATATTTTATGGTCTACTTATTTTTAGTCAGGTCTTTTTGTCAAATTCCTGAAGGAAACCTGAGGTGGGACCAGGTGATGTCTGTTATATTCTTAAGAGGAACCTTACCCCTGAGGGGCTTGCTGTGGTCAGACACTCCCAGCATTGTTCCAAAATATGTTTTCTCTACCCAGGGACCTCAGGTCCTATCTTTTCCCTCTCTTCCTACTGAATCCTATCTTTTCCTATCATATCAGTGTATATGAAGGAACAGGTCCTGTTTATTTGTGAGAATTAAGATTAATTTATAGTTTTCCTCCATTAGTTTGAATAACTTTTAGCTTCTCTTCCCTTTTTTCAGTCAACGGTATATGTAGGTCAGCATCTCACAGACTTGATTAGCAGATATGAAACTTAAATTGAATGGTTTTCTTCTGGCATTCACCAGTAATTATCTAAGAATGATCTTTTAATGAAGTCTTTCATCTCTGTATACATTTTGTTCCTAGAATTTCCCTGCATAAGCTGCTCTTCTCAGAAAGCTCATCCACTCCATACAGGTATCTCCAAAGTACATGTTTAGCTCTGTTCTTTTTCTCTCTTGAGCTTCTGTTTTCTCTTTAGGTGTCTACCAGCAATCTCTATTTACATGTGTTGATACCTTCAGCAGCAAGCAGTTCACAGGACAGTAAGCGCTAAGTGCTTACATTCCCAATCTCTTGCACCAACAAGCTGGGTAATTTTTAGACCAACTGCTGAACCTCCAGGACCTCAGATGGAAAGGATGATGACAACTCCTTCAAGAGAGGAGACTGAACTAGATAATTTATCAAGGTTTTAGATTTTAGACCTAAAATAAAATCCATTATTTTCTTCGTGTAACTGCTTCTCTCATTTGAAGTATTTTTTCCTTTCATCTTCAGATAATGGAACATAGAAAGTAAAGGAACTTTAGAACTAGGAAGGCTTTAGAGGCTGCCTGGCTCAATTCCTTTTCCTTACTGTAATGGAGTAAGTACTTAGGTTCATTATCTCCTTACTCTTCTTCGGCCTTTTCAGTAATCCAGTCCCATCACTTCTCCCTTTGTGATGTGTCTCAGGCCATTTCCATTCTTTTCATTGCCATCGCTCCAGAGTACCTATGTCTTTATTTCCTAGTGTCTACGTTCTTCCCAAAGTCTTCTGCTTTTCTTGCCTCTAGTCTTTCAACTAATCCTGGGAAAGCTTCCAGATTACATATTCAAAAGCAATGTGATCATTATGACACATTCCTGTCAAAACATATTTAATGGTTTTACTGTGGCCAGAGGATAAGGCCCAAACTCTAAGACTAACCTAAGGAACCTCCTAGAGGTGACCTTAACTTACCTTTCCAGGTATATCTTCATGTAGTCTCCTAAAAGTTAAAACACAATAAATATTTATTTAGTTGAATGACTCTTCATACTTGCTGAAAAGAAATCCTTTTAGCCTTGAGATAATATATTCAGAAGATTTTTTTTTTAAGTAGTCATGTTCAAAGGGAAGAAATAAGGCCATTAAGAGTGAAGATGGGGAACAAAGGTGAAGCGAGAACAGGAGTAGAATGCATCACTTTTCTATAGTTTCAGTTTCCACTAATTTTTCTCCTGCTTAGTTTTCTGAACTTTTAACCAATCCTTAGCTTACTGTGACTTTTCAAGGTGAGCCATACAAATTTGTACCTTTGCACTAAAACTACCAAGATAGGTAGGAAGACACTGACGTTGCCAGACAGAAAAAGTTAAAAATGCTAAGTAGAGGCTTTACAAAAGATAGATGCCTGTGGAGATATTAAGTGTAATTATGTTATAAATATCTTAAATTTGAAATAATCTTGATTCTGAAAGACTAGTACAAATACAAGCTTTCTCCAGGTTTCAAATGGAGCTCCATATTGGGGACCCATTCATTTCAAGCTCAGGAAGTTTTCCAGCAAATAAGGAATTTCCTCTCAGTACACCAGGGATATCCATGTAGTTTTCCCCCACGACAAAAACACGAACAGTCAGGGACTGGGCGCTTATCGTATCTAAACTAAACAGTGCCAAAACTTTAGATTTCGATCTCTGATTTAGGAAGGTCAAGGTCACACTGCCTTGGGAAAGGGGAAAGGCAGGATTCAGACCTAGGTCTTATTTTTAAACTCTGTGCTATAAAATGACCAGTCAAACTAACATATGAATTAGCAGGTCACAAGAGATTGGGGGTTAGGCGGCGGGACGAGATGCTTCCACACCTGAATTTTGAACGAGGGAAACGAGACTGGAAGGACGCCCGCCGCAGGCGCCATTTTGAGAGAGCCGGGCACCGGAAGTCTCGCCGCGAGAGTCTAGCAGTTGGACGGCTAGCAGCCGGCGGCGCGGGGGCGGAGCCAAGGACCGAGCGTGTTCCCCACCTGTCTGCGGCCGAGGGTGGAGCCTGAGGGCGGGACCGGAGACCCTGCAGCGCGGGAGGCTCGCGGCGGGGGAGGAGCCTAAGGCGGGGCAGAGGACGCGTTGTCAGAGGCTCGTGGCGGGGGCGGGACTTGAAGGCGGGACCAGGGGTCGGGAGACTCGGAGCTTCCCAAGGCTGTGCAGCTCGAAGACTTGAGGCTGGGGGCGGAGCCTAAAGGCGGGGCGAGACCGGGCCGCGCGGCCGGCGCGGGGAGGAGCTGACCTGGCCACCGCACACCCGCACCTCACTTTCTCGGAACGTGACAGAGCTGCTGTAGTCGGCCGCCAGCAGCCCGCAGCTCTCGGTGAAGAGGGCTGGGGTGGGAGATGACGGTGACTTCCTCCCTGGTTGGCCCACCACGAGCATCGACTCCCTTCTCGTGGCCCCGGGGCTGCAGACGTAGCAGGTGAGATGGGGCCCCGGGACGCGGATCTGCCCCGCCCAGGCTCTGCCTTGCGTACCCCTGGTGCCCCCATCCCTGCCCCTCGGGTCTGGGCAGGTGGGCAGTGCCCCGCCCTTGTCACCGTGGCGTGCAGTCCGCTGCCGGCGCCTGTCCCGCAGCGTTCGCTCTTAGGACCTGCGGAGCCACCCAGGAAGACTTAACATAGGGGAAGGGACAGCTTGTCCCCTCCAGTGACAGACAGAACTGCCATACCCCAGTTTGAGGAGCACCTCATTGCACGTACGTCTACGCTATCATTCTCGGACTCTTCCTTTTATCCCGAGGGGTGGCCTCACTATCTGTCCTGGGAGCTCCTGCCCAGGTACCTGGAGCTGCACCAATTTTCTTCCTTACCCCTTTTTGGAACATGTCAGTTACCATGACGTTGTGATTCCCATGTCCTGAGGAAGCTGAGGGACCAACTTTTTATCCCAGGCACAGACCCCATTCTTCCTTTCCGTTTCCACCGGTGGCAGCGGGTCTCTGTGCAGCCTGTTTAAGGACTGCCACATCCTTATCTTGGAGGGCCAAAGTCTGTGCCTGCTGACAAGGGAAGAGGCAGTGCTCAGCGCTCCCCACCCTGGGTCTCTAGGGAGGACATTTGGTCCTCTGCAAGTAGGTGGGTGTGGGTGGATGGTGTGACTGTTGATGTTGAAGAGTGCTTTAATAGTGCCATAGTATATTATGCTTTAACCACAGGATTATGGATATTGGGTGTGTGAGAATAGACAGTCCACGAGTTTAAGGCTTTCTCTTTTAAATAAATCAGAACCCCCTTCCCCATTTTCACTTAATAATGGCAGTTGTTTACAGTCTCAGTGGTTTCTTCATGTTCTCCACCAAATATCAGTGGCTAGAAGTGGTTTGTGTATAGCATTTCTCCACTCCCCACCCCAGTGAGTGGCCAGTGAGCAGACTTTTTTTTTTTTAATGTTTTTCATGTTTTATTTATTTCTGAGAGAGAGAGAGACAGCATGAGCAGGGGAGGGGCAGAGAGAGAGGAAGACACAGAATCTGAAGCAGGCTCCAGGCTCTGAGCTGTGCTGACAGCTCAGAGCCCAAAGCAGGCAGTGGGCAGTCTTTTAACAGGTCACCCTGTTTGTTCTGTTAACAACCCTTGTTTATAATGAGATGAAAAGACTGGATGTGATTTTTTAAAATTTCCATTGGTGTCGTTCCTGTTCATTTTAAAAGAACTCTTTAAAAAGCATATACTCTTCCCTTTGGGGGGTGAGGGGTGGGAGGTGGGAAGAGAGAAACCTTTGTAAGTGCTTCTTTTTTTGGTGGTTTTGACCATACCTCTGTTAGCAAATATTGTTTTTATAATGTTGAGGGACATTAAAGGAATCTTTATGGGTAGGAGCAGATACTTTTCAAAGTTTTTCTCTTTTAATTTTTGAATAACTCAAAGTTAATCATGAGTAGTGCTACAACTATTTGACCATCACCTTGAGAAAAATGAAGAGCTCTCCCTTCCCAGCTGTAAGCTATTTGAGATCAAACTGAATTAAATTGAACTGCTCTTAGTTTGGTATGAAAGAAAAGTTGATAACCTATGACCCATCCCATCTCTCTATTTTTTTTAGTTTATTTTTATATATTTTGAGGAGGGGGGGGCAAGGAGGCAGAGAGCTAGAGAGCGAAAATCCCAAGCAGGCTGCACACTGCCAACACAGAGCCTGACTCATGGCTCGATTTCACGAACCACACTAATCTCTAATTTAGTTTGAGAATCTTTGGGGTTTTTTTTTTTAATGTTTTAATGTTTTATTTATTTCTGAGAGAGAGAGACAGCATGAGCAGGGGAGGGTCAGAGAAAGAGGGAGATACAGAATCTGAAGCAGGCTCCAGACTCTGAGCTAGCTGTCAGCACAGAACCCGACCCAGGGCTCAAACCCACGAACCGTGAGATTATGACCTGAGCTGAAGTCAGACGCTTAACTGACTGAGCCACCCAGACTCCCCAGTTTGAGAATCTTTAATACCAAGTTTGAAGAACTGGCATAAGACAATGAATTATATTTAATTTGTTAGTGTTCTTATGACCACAATTCGTGATAGCAGCTGCTACCATTTCTTGAAGACCTACTCTGTGATGAGTTACTATGATTAACTGTGTATAAAATCTCCAATCCTCAAAATGTTCCTTTAAGGAGGTTTTTACTCTCATTTTAAGGTTCAGAGAGGGCATTTAACTTGCCCAAAGAGTTGATAAGTGAAAAGGCCCAAGATTGGGTTCAGATCTATCTGACTCTTTTACTTAACAACCACTATTTTAGTTAAAACTATTTGTTAAAAAAATTATTGTAATACATTGATATGTGAGTGTGGTACAAATAAGGTGTAGTCAGCAGTAAGTTATTAATATTCCGGGCAATATAGGGAACTTTAAAGAAATAACATAAGACTGGACAAATTTGTCATCTTATTCTTTGACATTGCTTTTTCAGGTCCACACCTATTAGGGACTCTAGATGTTTACTACCTTTGTTTAGCAGCTCCTTACTTCAACTAATGGTACCTGCCCCAACCATTAGCTTTCCCAGGATATAATTTGATGCTTATTTGGTAAACTTCAAGTATGTGATTATTATAGGTTTTGTGGATATTGACCACTCCTGTCTAATCCTGGTAGAACAACACTTGTCTGGATCCAGATTACATGTAAGGCTAAATGGTTCAGTTTATACGAGGGTAGCACAGAGAAAATTATCTTGTCCACACCCCATGTATTAGTTGTTGCTGGTCTCTGGCCTGCTATCTGAGTCGTTCTGATGTCATGTGGTTGTTTGAAAACTTACCCGTTGGCATTGCAAATTTCAGAAATCATGAGCGTTTTTACTTTCTACCTTATATAAGGCCACTTTAGATGGTTAACCCAGAATAATCACTTAGAAATTGGCAATTGTCACCATATTAATTTTGAGTTACTCATGAAAGCTGATTAGTTGCAAAGTTGCCCAAACCTCATGTTCATTGTGTCCCTGGCAGCAAGAGGGGAGTCTGATTGTATTGTAATGCTAGCATAACAAATTCTTTCTTGCTTTAGCATTTTCTGAACATCTTTAGGACATTTTACAACACATGTTGTGTTCTTTAACATTTTAGAATAGCTTTAGAACATATTTTGTGGTCACGCCCTGTCTATAGTGAAGAACTTAGGGTACTTTATCATTCAGAAAAAAAAAAGATTTCTCTCCATGAACTAGATGGTTGCTAAAAGAGAACATTGGTCCACTGAAAGGTGAAAGGTTTGAGGTGACTGGGTGGCTCAGTCAGTTAAGCATCTGACTCTTGATGTCGGCTTAGGCCATAATCTCACAATCATGAGATAGAGCCCCATATCAGGCTTTGGGCTGAGCGTGAAGCCTGCTTGGGATTCTCCCCCCCCCCATGCATGCGTTCTCTTTCTCAGAATAAATAAACATTAAAAATAAAAGTGAAAAGTTAAAGAGCAGATTAATAGTTTAGTCATTCATCAAAATAATATATATATTTTCTATACATAAGTATATATATTTATATATAAATATATAAATATTTAAGTGTAAATATATTAGTGCCTCCTGTGTGCTAGTCACTGTGCTAGGCATTAGGGATACAATAGTGAGCAAATTTCATGCAGAGTCCCTACTTATGTGGCAGTTAAAGTCTAGTGAAAGAGACAGACAAATCAAATAGTCACTCTAATGCATAGTGTAATTACAAACTGAGAAAAGTAGCCTACGGGTAAGGAATCTGATTCTATTTGCAAAAGACTTGGCTATGGGGTTAGTGAAGCCTTACCTGATGAAGCAACTCCTGAACTATATAATTTAGAGGGTGAGCAGGTATTATTACATAGAGAATGGCAGGTAGAGAAGAGAACATTTTAGACCGAACAGCATGTACAAAGTCCCTATGACACAAAGGGGACTCGGGCATTCCAGAAGGCAAATATGTGATGCCAGGATAAAAGGAACTAAGGGTAGCCTGGTAGAATGCCATCTTTTTTTTTTTTCATTCTCTTTTATATGTCACCAAACTTTGATTACTTCGTGCCAGATGTGATTATAAGGGATTTGAATCGGATTTGAATCATTTCAAGTCTTAGTGAGGTAGATAGTAGTATTGCCATTTCACAGATGAAGAAATAAAGTTTTTATGTGGTACTCTACTATATTTTTCTTCTTATCCTATACTCAGGTATGACCACAGGCTACGCATGACTCCCCTGTCCAGTATGTAGCCTTGAGAACTGAAATTTCCCGAGAATTAGGATGCAGGTGGACATCCAGAAGAGACTCTGTGGGCCCCAAGCTCTTACCCGCCAGGTGGAGCTCAAGTGTGGATCATGGGAGAGAGCTATGGGATAATCACTGCAGCTCTCATATTTGCGGATCTTATCATATTCATGTCTAATACTGAAAATAGGCCACCAACATAAATATTTTGAGCTGACCCACCTTTGAGAGTAAGGAGGTTATCATTAGCAAACCCTCTCGCCCCCCCCCTTTTTTTTCATTTTCATTTTTCTCTGGTGGTTGTTGAAGAAAGTATATATATATTTGGCCATTTGATAAGTCTAGATTTGCCAGTATATGCTTTCAACTAGAATTCCTCTTCTTATTTATTGTCACACTGAATCTTTCTTCCTTTCTTTCCAGATATCTGGTTGGAGTTGGAGGGTGAACAAAAATGAATTCGTTTTCCGACTTACCTGCAGAGAACTTAACCATTGCAGTCAATATGAGCAAAACTTTCTCCTCAACAGTAATGCATAGATTTAATTCCACTAATGACCCACCTTCAATGTCAATAACAAGGCTTTTTCCAGCCTTACTAGAATGCTTTGGCATAGTCCTTTGTGGCTACATAGCAGGAAGAGCAAATGTCATAACATCAACACAGGCCAAAGGACTGGGAAATTTTGTCTCCAGATTTGCACTTCCAGCTTTATTATTCAAAAATATGGTTGTACTTAATTTTTCCAATGTGGATTGGTCTTTCCTATATAGTATCTTGATTGCCAAAGCTTCTGTCTTTTTCATTGTATGTGTCTTAACCCTACTGGTTGCCAGTCCTGATAGTCGATTCAGCAAAGCTGGACTATTCCCTATTTTTGCTACACAAAGTAATGACTTTGCATTGGGATATCCTATAGGTAAGTTATTGTATTTTTCAAGCTTTTAAAAAATTCAGATATTTTAGGAGTTAGCAAAATTTAATCATTTAATTTATCTAAGAATTTGTTAGTGATAGATATTTATTATTTCTTCTTATATCTAAAAAATCTTTCAGGGACATTTGGCTGGTTCAGTCAGTAGAATATGTGAATCTTGATCTTGGAGTCATGAGTTCAAGCCCCATATTGGGGGTAGAGTTTACTTAAAAAAAAAAAAAAAGTCACAAAGCCTAATTCCAAATCTCTGTACTTTGTACCACCCCGCAGTGCCTACACCCAAAAGGGGATAAATCTTTTAATAAAATTTTAAACTTGCTCATGTTTTTTCTTAACTATTTCTTACATTAGGATTAATTCTATTTTTCCTCAACTTCAGAGTTTGAAGTTCCTTCAAGTGTCAACCTAAAATAAATAGTCATATCCAAATAAACTTTATGAATCATCTTTCTAATATATTCTTTTTCTTCTCAATATCACATGAAAGAAGTTCAGGTTCCAGAAGGGATCAGATTCTGATTTAAATTATTTAAACAAGATAGACATATGTGTTTATAAAAATAGTTATTAATAAATGTTAGCAGTGGAAATTTATGAGTGACTTTTTCTTACCATCTAGAATATATATTGTCTTATATTAAAGCTTGTTTTTGAGCTTGTTACTCAATATATCAATTTACTTCAATTGAGTTAACTTCTTGCTTAAGAACAAAAATGGTGAGGGCTTTTTACCTTTTCAACTCTTCCTTCTTAACCTTTCCAACTCTTTAGACTGTCTAATTTTGTTTCTATGTGTGTTTGTTCTCCTGATAAAACACCAATTTGAGATATTGAGATATCTTAAACATATTCTTTTTTTTTTTTCCAGAACATCTACCACTAAGCAAATATCTCCTTAGTAGCTACTTTTTATACTTTTATTTTTAAATTCAAGTTTATGTTGTGCTTTGACCATGTATCATAATGTGAGGACCTGAGTATTATGGATATAGCCATCCATTCATTCACTCATTCATAGGGACCTGTTAGGTTCCAATAATTGTTCTAGCTGCTGGGAATATACCTCTCAACAAAGTACTCATACATATTGAATTTACATTTTAATGTGAAAATAACATTAAAATTAAAATAATATCAAGTAATGGCAAGGACCATAAAAACACAGTAGTTTGGAAAGGAATGAGGAGGTACTGTTTAAGGTACGGGGTCAGTAAAGACCTTTGATGGTACATCTTCTGAGCAGAGACTGAAAGAGACGTAATGAAGTGGACAACTGAAAACTACTATTGACTTTCAGATTCCTTATTCAGTAGTTGTAACCCCCACCACCCCCACCACCAAAATGTTATTATTTCGCCACTGGCACCAAAAGGATTCTAGTGAATATACTTTTCCTTTTTCTCCTCCTTTGACCCTCTTCATCTCGCTTGCCAGAAATGGAACTAAATCTCAGAAACTAAATAACTATGAGTAAAGCAGGAGGTTTGTGAGAGAGGGAAACTAGGCTCTTAGATGACTAGGCTATAAATAGAAATTATATAAGTGTTCCTTTAAGGATAATGAATTTTAAAATTAAGGGTGAACCAAGCATTTAAATAAAGACTTTGGAAATAAAAGAGCAAGCAGTTAATGTGTTTGTCCGTCTCTTCAGAAGCATTAATAATGTAAATTTGTCAAGGTATTTAAACCATAAGGACCTTAGAAATGGCTTGGTATTGTAGTATTAAGTATTTAACCAATATTACATTATCTTAATTTGGATATAATCTATAAGTATATAGTTTCATGTTCTCATAGATTGGTAAGTCCATAACTAAACAAAACTAATGTTTGTAACTTTATAGTTTATAGAGTATTTTCTCATATATTTGTCTCATCTGAGGTAGGGCAGATATTTGTAATCCTCAATTTCAAATAAGGAGACAGGCTTACAGGGATTTAATTGTCTTATCCTTGGTCACACAGCTGACAGGTGACTGAGATCCAAACCTAGGCCTCTTGATTATAAATCCTGGGGCATTCTTTTATGCCACACAGTTATATAACATGCCCATTTAATCTTTAGAAGACCTAACTAGCCTGTGTAATCCATTAATATCAGAGAGAATCAAAGTTTTTTTTTCCTTTATATTATTCTAAAAGTGTTCCATAAAATGAGTAGCAGTGGAAAAAGACCTGCAATTAGATGAGCTCATCCATTTTTTTAAAAATATAATGTATTGTCAAGTTGGCTAACATACAGTGTATACAGTGTGCTCTTGGTTTTGGGGGGGAGATTCCCATGATTCATTGCTTACATACAATACCCAGTGCTCATCCCAACAAGTGCCCTCCTCAGTGCCCAGCACTCATTTTTACCTCTTCCCCAACCCCCTCCATTAACCCTCAGTTTGTTCTTTGTATTTAAGAGTTTCTTATGGTTTGTCTCCCTCCCTCTCTGTAACTATTTTTTCCCCTTCCTTTCCTCCATGGTCTTCTGTTAAGTTCCACATATGAGTGAAAACATATGATATCTGTCTTTCTCTGACTTATTTCACTTAGCATGATACCCTCCAGTTCCATCCACATTGCTGCAAATGGCAAGATTTCATTCTTTCTCATTGCCAAGTAGTATTCCATTGTATATATAAACCACATCTTTATCCATTCATCAGTTGATGGACATTTAGGCTCTTTCCAAAAATTGGCTATTGTTGAAAGCAGTGCTATAAACATTGGGGTACATGTGCCCCTATGAATCAGCACTCTTATATCCCTTGGGTAAATTCCTAGTAGTACTATTGCTGGGTTGTAGGGTAATTCTATTTTTAATTTTTTTAGGAACCTCCACACTGTTTTCCAGAGCTGCCACACCAGTTTGCATTCCCACCAACAGTGCCAAAAGATTCTCCATTTTCATATTAAGACAAAATCTCCAAATCAAAAATTTAGTCCACTATTTTCATCACTATTTTCCTTATTCTACATTAGATTATTGAATCTGGTAATAATCATGTTCCTAGCAGTGTGCTAGTCCAGTTTTCCTGATAATTATCCTTCTGAATTTTGAGTTCTAATTTTTTTGTTTTTAAATTACAAATAAATAAATAAAACACTAAAAAAATTAAATTACCAATAATATAAGAGCTCTCGTAACATTGTATTGTAAACAATACCTTTCCGGAAACCAACAGTATACACAAAAGTGTTTCTCATGGATCTGCAGATTGGAAGGTGCGGTACAGAACTGTAGGGCTGTGTATGTGCTCTGATGGGCTTATTTATTAATGCTTCCTGCCTGTCTGCCTTCTGGTCCTTTTCAGGATAAACAAAGAAGACTGTGTCTCTAGAGAGAAGACCCTTTCTTTCTGTTTGTTATGTGGTGTCCCCCAGGAATTCCCACTCTCTTGTTAACAGATAAGCATCATAGATTTTAAAAAATGTCCTTTTAAAGACTGTTTTCTTCCACAATATCAGTCCAATTTATAAGGGACTCAAGAGAAGGCAGATAAGTTAATGTAAGAAAATTAAGTCATGTTTCCTTTTTCTGTATATTATGACAATTATAACAGCCTATGAAATTACATTTATCTATATGTTATATATATGATTTATATATAACATATAGATATATATTTTTATATATAGATAGGATTTATCTATATTCAAGTGACAATGCTACAGTACATTTAACAGACTGAAAGAGAAGCTTGCCTTTTTTTAGAACAATTCTTTTCAAAAGTACTTTAAGAAATATGAGTCTGAGAAGAAATCAAGAATCTACCAAGGTGAAATGTTGATTTCAGCAAATCAGAATGGTTCCCTACCTCTGTCATTAAAAGATACTAATAAGGCATAGTTAAGTCCTATAATTTATTCTTCAAACAATGCTGATAGCATAAGTACCCCAACTAATCATAATTATGCTCTAGTGCTTGAGCTGTAAACAGAAAGGAAATGAAGCATTTAACTATATGCCATTAAATAATAGAATGATCTTGTCCGGGTCTTAGTGTTATTTGCTAGGGATTGAAACCTGGCAGGAATCAAAATAGGAGACACAGTGGGTGGCTAATTTTGTCTCTTAGTTCCTCATAGTGGGATTCTCTCCTGCCCCCAAGAGCCTTATTTGTAGGTTTTAATTAATTAGAACTTAATAGGTGATACAATCATTATAAATCTAATTTGTTAGTATAGGTCACTGCTTTCGTATGTTTTTCAGATTTGAAAAACCATCTTTCAATTGGCAACAGAAGCAGTGCCAATTCATAGATAAATGTATAACTTTAATTATGCAAATGAATGACAGATTGAACTGAAATTTCCATGTTGAACCCTATTCTTGTAATTTAGCAATTATTTATTCATTCCCAATTTTTTGCTCTCCCACCAAATTTTACCTTTTTTGCCTTCATATACCTGTTCAACTGGCTTAAAATAATAGTAATCTGCCTTATAAATACTCAGAATAAGAAAAAAAAACCTATGTACAAAAAGAAACAGGTTTGAGAGATAACAGTTAGATATAAATTGCTGTGTGTTACAAAATACGTTTTTTTAAAAATTTATTTTGAGAGAGAGAGGGAGAGAGCGAGCACAAGCAAGGAAGGAACAGAGAGAGGGAGAGGGAGAATCCCAAGCAGGCTCTGAGCTGTCAACGCAGAGCCCAACACGGAGCTCTATCTCATGAACCATGAGACCATGACCTGAGCTGAAATCAAGAGTCAGATACTCAACTGACTGAGCCACCCAGGCGCCCCTACAGAATACATTTTTACTTTGAAAACTTGGACATTCATTGATATGTTAATTCCATTCAGCAAATATTTTCAGATGTGTTCAGCACTGCACTGGGGACTGGGAGTTATGACAATGTGCCTTCAGGGAACATAGAATGTGGTGAGAAACAACTTACATGAAACAAGGTTCCAGAGCCATCCAGAGAGGAGACCCATGACATAGACTGAAGACCTAGATGGGAAGCATTGGTACCTGAGACAGGCCCTCAAACTATAGGCAGGATTTAGGTGAGGAAGGAGAGGTTTTAAGAAGTTGGGGAATGATGATCAGCATGTAGAACTCGTAATTATGAACCTGGTGTTTGTCCGGGAAAATTGTGATATTAAACACTGGTGGAGGCTTCACATGAAAGAATAGTGAGTGATGAACTGCCTGAGGAAGGCACCACACTTGTGGAGACTGGACTGTAAATGCCGACAGAAAGGCTTCAGAGCTGTTCCTGTGGGAGGTGAGCACTGTGGGAAAATCATAAATTTTGAAAGCTAAGATTTAGATGATCCTGTCAGCAGTAAGTAAAATGAATCAAGGGAGTGGTCAGGAAGAACCAAAAGAATATAAGTTGATAAACATTAATCCAACTTTGAGATTTTTGACTAGTGGTTCAAGAGGAGAAAATACAAAAGATCCTACCTAAGAAGAAAGTACTTGGTCATTGCTCAGCCGTAGATAAGGAAAGGCTGCTGCTCAAATTCACATTGAGCTTTGAGTTTTTATTTTTGTTAATGTTCATTTATTTATTTTGAGAGAGAGGGAGAGAACAAGAGAGTATGAGCAGGGGAGGGTCAGAGAGACAGGAGAGAGAATCCCAAGCAGGCTCTATACTCCCAGCACAGAGCCCAATGCAGGGCTTGAACTCAAGAACCATGAGATCATGACCTGAGCTGAAATCAAGAGTCAGACACCTAACCGACTGAGCCACCCATGTGCCCCTGCATGGGGTTTGTAAAACAATATAAAGTCCATTATCAGATGGTGATTAAGTGCTAGTGTGCTGGGAATGGTAAGTTTCTGGAAAAAGGCCTTAACTTAAGGGGTTCTGTGTGGTAAAAGTTGTCAAAGGGAACACTTTGTGCATTTTATTGGGGCCACTTGGGAAAATTCTTGTACTCTGAAACCACAGGCTTTTTCAAAATATGCTCTCTATTTTAACAATTGAGTGGTTAGCAGGTATGGAAGCTTTCTCTTAGAGATGGAATATCTAAGTAGAAGTATAGCTGTCTAGAAATAGTTATCAAGAGTGATGCTTTTCTTTTACTCAAAAGATGAAACCTTATGAAATGTGAAAGAACACCACTAAGAGATATAGGTGGAACTCATGTATCTAATTTGGAAATTAGTGGAAAAGAAAGAATTTGTGAAATTTTATGTAATCAAATGTTTTGCTTAGCCACTGCTTCATTTCAGAGGTATTATAGACCTCTGTACGTGCTTAGCTGAAAAGAAAGGGAATAGAATCCTACAAAAAAGTAGGTTTTAGCTCATGAGAACCAGGTAAACTTCTAAAGGTTATACAATCTAGTTATGTAACTTTAACAGGAAAGACATTAACTGAACTTATGTATTTTGAGTAAGTAAACAAATATATTTTCCTACCTGTGAAACTCTATCTTAATGTAAATTGAGAAGTCTAATCTTTTACAGTTTTGCACATGATTGCCTCTGTCTTTGCAAGTGATTGTGGCTGTTCATTTTTTTTTTTTTAATCTTTCTTTCTCAAACTCCAATCATTTATGAATCAACCTTTGTGTTAGGTTGAATTTCAGAACTCATTGCCAAAACTGTACCTGGAGACCAGGTTGCTTATTCCAAGGCTCTGTGTTGTTCTGATCACCCCCAAAACAGACCACCAACCCTCATGTCCACCACCAAACTTCATGCTAGAAGTCTGATCCAACCCACCTACCTCCTTTCAAGGAGATTCATTTTATGCCCTGGTTAGGTTCTAAAGTCATGCATAGTCCTACCCTTGAAAAAATCCCTTAAGTCACCCACAAAATACAGCACACATGCTTTGTATATATTGTACCATTTCTCATTAAGTCTGACACAGCCAGATTTTTCTCTAACGTTGTTCATTAATGAACAAGGAAGTGATTAGTTTGCATTTGGGAACATGTTTGATGGGGGTGGGGGGAATGAAGCTTTTGTTTTCCTAAGAGAGTATAGTTGAATTTGTGTTCATTAAATTGTGTACTGATGTGACTCTACTGTATTCCCCTCCCAAACATTCCTTAGATCACCTTTTCATTCATAATTCTTCAACATCTTCAGTGGGTCTTTCTAAAGGCATTCATTCCTTCTTATTACTCTCAAATGGAGGCCACTTATTTTCTCTTTGCCTGTATCCTACATGAGCAATAGTAGGCAGAACTGGCATTCTCATAGCCGCCTTGTACCTCTGCCAGGCCATCATTCTCTGCTCTTTTGCAAGAACTGCTGTTTTGGGGTTTGTGCTGCCTGCCTAGACCATTCATCCTCATGCTGTCATCTGCTGACCTCATTCTGATCACTCCTCCTCATTTAGTGAAGACTTTAATACCTGGCTCATTGTCGTCCTCTTGACTCCCAAATTTTGCCATTGTCCTCTTTGACTTTAGCATCCATGTGAATACCATTAAATTCTCTGCCCTTTCAGTTCCCTGACTTCATCATCTCCAGTGGTGTTTACTCCCTTTCAGCCACCAATTCCCATGCCACATCCAGGACCTAGTCTTCTGGGAAATACTAAGTTCAGTAGCTCACAATCTGACTTACTCTGAACTCCTAATCTTCCAACTGCTTGTCATACTTGGACTTCGAGACTTCCAGTCCCTGACTCCTCAACTTTTTATCTGAGAGCCATCTTTACCTCTTTTCCACTATAACTTGAACGCTATCTTTTCATTGTTCATATTTTTGTTTGTAGTCTCCTCCTCTCTCCCCAACCCTCTGTAGGCTGGCTTCAAGAGAACCAAAGTACCTTGTTGCTCTTACTACTTAAATGTTTCATTTCTTCCTTTTTCTTTTAATAATTCTACAATTCTGTCCTTTTATTGAGACTACACTCAGCCTCAATTAGTGGGTTTCACTAATAATTTTTTAAAGTTGATTATCATTTTATAAGCTAAATATTTAATGTAGTGTGTTTTTCTTCCTTTTAAGCTTTATTATTAAATTTTACTTTTCCAAAGTAGACTAATGAGATCATTGTGCACTATTTAGATTAATTTACAATATGTTATAATTAATCATGGAAAACACTATATGCATAATTTATTAATGCATTTCTGTGGTACTCATTTTTAAAGCAATCTTAATTCATGTTTTGCAGTTGAAGCTTTATATCAAACTACATACCCAGAATATCTCCAGTACATTTACCTGGTGGCACCAATATCTCTTATGATGTTAAACCCTATAGGGTTTATCTTCTGTGAAATCCAGAAGTGGAAAGACACTCAAAATGCTTCTCAAAACAAAGTGAAAATTATAGGACTTGGACTTCTGCGTGTTTTACAGAACCCAATAGTATTTATGGTTTTCATTGGCATTGCCTTCAATTTTATTCTTGATCAAAAGGTGCCCGTGTATATGGAAAATTTTCTAGATGGACTTGCAAACTCTTTTTCTGGATCGGCTCTATTTTATCTTGGTCTTACAATGGTGGGAAAAATAAAGAAACTGAAGAAGTCAGCATTTATTGTACTAATTCTTCTCATCACAGCTAAACTGTAAGTTTCACTTACTTAATGTGGGGATTGTCCTTTGTGAAAGCCCTATTTAGCCAACTCAGAAGATGTGTCTATGACTATTTTCTCCTTTAAATAACCTGATAGTAATAATTCCTCCTAACTAAGTAGTTGTGATTTAAAGGAAAATGTGATGTTGGCATATTGTGGAAAGTTATTTCCTTATTCTTTGTAGATTATTCTTTCCATTTTCCTGACAGAAGATGAAGACTATTGGTTTCTCTTTAACTTTTATATAACTTTACTTAATATCTACTAATGTCCCAGTTGATCATATTTTTAAGGAATTTTACAGGATTTCTGAGTTTTCTAAATCTTTTAAAACCCTATTACCCGTGACAAAAACAGTAATTTTGAACATAAGCTTTTGTTCATGAATTTGGGGGAAATATTCTATAATTCTGTGGGTAGTTGAACTTTCTAAATAGAGCTAAGTCAGTACAAATGATTATTATCAACAATCTGATCCTGGCCTATCAAATTAAGTTTTTTTAATCAGTTTCTTAGTCAATAGTTCTTCAGCTTACTTAGCTCATTAGCCATGGAGTTATACTTCTTTGTGGTGTGGGTGACATAATTTTACTGTGACACTACCCCGAGACATTTGGAGCGTACTGAACTATTGAAATCAGCTCTTGTATAGTGAAATTCACAAGAGCAGTGCAATGTGAAATAGCATCTATATTTTCAAAATAATTAAAATGAATATAACTTTTGAAAATTATTTTTGGTGTGGTATTATGCTTCTTGGAAATAATGAATTAATTAGTATTGCCACAGTAATAAATATGGTTCTAATGATAATAGTATTGTCAACTTAGAGTTTAAATATTCTAATTTTTAAAAATGACCATGTGTAGCCTGCTTGGGATGCGCTCTCTCTCTTTCTCTCTCAAAATAAATAAGCTTAAAAAAAAGATTTTTTAAGCCCCAAATCATAATAAAGACCAGGGCTTTTTTCCAATAAGAAGTTTAGTAATTTTCTTGAAAAAAAGTTTACTCAGAGTATAGATCCTTTTTTTTTTCTTTTAACATTTCAACTTATTAGTAAAGAAAACAAGAAACAGCAGCTACAATTACAACTTTTACACATTTTTTGTAAGAAAATTATTTGTAGAACAAAAACTGAGTTTTCTCCTCCTAATCCCTGCTGTTGAAAGTATTTTTATTTTTTTATTAAAAATTTTTAATGTTTTTATTTTATTTTTGAGACCGAGAGAGACAGAGCATGAGTTGGGGAGGGGCAGAGAGAGAGGGAGACACAGAATCTGAAACAGGCTCCAGGCTCTGGGCTCAAACTCATGAATGGGGAACAGTAAGATCATTACCTGGGCAGAAGTCAGATGCTTAACGACTGAGCCACCCAGGTGCCCTGAAAGTACTTTTAGAATGTTGTTACACTTAGGGGCATCTGGGTGGCTCAGTTGATTAAGTGTCCAAATCGTTGGGTTTTTTTTTTTTTTAATGTTTATTCATTTATTTTGAGAGAGAGAGCATGTGTGAGTAAGCAGAGGAGGGACAGAAAGACAGAGAGAGAATTCCAAGTGGACTCTGAGCTGTCAGCACTGAGCTTGACTCAGGGCCCAATCCAGTGAACTGCGAGATCATGACCAGAGCCAAAATCAAGAGTAGGACACTTAACCAGCTCAGCCACCCAGGCTTCCCAAACATCTGACTCTTGATTTCAGCTCAGGTTATGATTTCACAATTGGTGGTTAGATGAATGGAGCCCCACATTCAGTCACTGTGCTGACAGCATGGAGCTTATTTAAGATTCTCTCTCAGGGCACCTGGGTGGCTCAGTTGGTTGGGCATCTGACTCTTGATTTCAGCTTAGGTCATGATCTCATAGTTCTCAAGTTCGAGCCCTGTGTCTGGCTCTGCACTGATAGCACTGAACCTGCTTGGGATCCTCTCTCTTCCTCTCTCTGTACCTCCTCCTCCCCCATGTGCACATGCACTCTCTCTCTCTCTCAAAAATAAATGTAAAAACTTAAAAAAAAAAAAAAAAGAAGAAGACTCTCTTTGGCCCTCTGCCCCCTCCATGGCTTGTGCAATCTCTCTCTCTCTTTCTCTCTTAAAAAAATAAATAGGACTCCTGGGTGGCTCAGTCATTTAAGTGTCCAACTTTGGCTCTGGACCATGATCTCATGGCTAGTGAGTTAAAGCTCCACATTGGGGCTCTGTACTAACAGCATAGAGCCTGCTTGGGATTCTCTCTCTCTCTCTCTCTCTCTCTCTCTGCCCATCACCCCCTTGTGCTCTCTCGCTCACTCTCTTTCAAAATTAATAAGCTTTTAAAAAAAGAATATTATTACACTTAAATGGCTCCAAGTTGAATTCTTGATTATTTCAAAATGTTCACAAGTAGGCATGCAGAGAATATGTGCATGCAAATAGATGCACCTTCAGGGCAGAAGAATATCCTAATGCCAAGTTCACTAGAACAGTCTCCCCATTGGGGACCAGCATGCTTTGATATCAAGTGAATGACCCATTTTTTGTTTTTTTCAGCCTGGTGCTGCCACTTCTGTGCAGAGAAATGGTGGAACTCTTGGACAAGGGTGACAGTGTAGTGAACCATACAAGTTTATCAAATTATGCATTTTTGTATGGTGTCTTTCCTGTAGCACCAGGCGTGGCTATCTTTGCAACACAGTTCAACATGGAAGTCGAGATTGTATGTATACACTACTCTCTAGGTGTGCTTGTCCGGTTAGGAGAAAAATGAATTTTTAAAATGCAGAAATCAGCATTCTTTTATAAGAATTTGATACGTGTAAGCTACTTCACTGTAAATAAGGAGGCATCGTGTAATATTATGTAATAATAGTTATTTAATCCAGGGTCTTCTCAGCTGTATTTTTTTATTAGTCTTTTTAAATTTCAAATATCTCATTGTTGTACTTATCCTGAAGCCTAAAGATTATTTACAGAATGGTAACTTTTGAAATTTGGGGTAAAAAAAAAAAGCTTCATTCATTGATAATTCAACCAGCAGATGTAAAACAGCACATAATCAATCTCAGTAAATAGCTAAAATTAATTAATACCATATTATTAACCTTGTCTAAGCATATTATACATGTTACTTATAGTATTACACTAAATGTTTTTGAAATACAGCAAAGTAACCAAATTATTTAACAAAGGTTACTTGCATTATTTAATCTGCATGGTAGTTTTTTTTTTCCTATTTTATTGCCCTGTATTTTATGAAATAGTGTGGAAGGAAACTGGTCATCAGTTTAATTAGATCATTAATATGGTTTACTTTCTAGAACCTAGAAGATTACCATCAGCATGGGATGTCTAGTGTTGGTTATGTACAAATATTAATTGAGCACAGGCTGGAAGAGACAAAGGAACTTAACTGTGTTTTCTTTTAAGGACCCTCAGAAAGAGGAATTCAGTATTAGAGAATATGCTTTTTACTGACTTTTGCTTGTATTTTAGAATGCCTTAGTGTGGTGTGGCTATTTAAAGTTTAGAGTAATTGTTTATTGAGACTGTGACCCTTTCCTCAATTTGATTTCATTTTTTGCAGATAACCTCAGGGATGGTCATAAGCACATTTGTGTCTGCACCAATCATGTATGTTTCTGCCTGGTTACTAACCTTTCCCACTATGGACCCTAAGCCATTGGCATATGCCATCCAGAATGTTAGTTTTGATATAAGTATTATCAGCCTTGTCTCCTTGGTAAGTATGTCTCAGTGTAAAAATGAATGAAAACCACGAATGAGTTTGAGAATAGCTTGGTAACAGAAAGTTAGGGATTTAAAAATGTATTTTAAAAAATCTCTTAAGCAATAGAAAAAGCTAAGCCTACCCTTAAAATGTACATATCAGCCTTCTGAGTTGCGTCTTTCGTTTTGAGAATTAGAGGCACACAGAAGACAAGGCATGAGATTTAGTCAGACCTGGATTTGGATTATGCCCTATCAAAAACTAGCTGTGTGTCTCTAAACTTCAGTTTTCTCAACTGTGAGCTAGAGATACTAATTTTACCTATTTCCATGGGTTCTTTTAAGGATTGCATGAGACAATATATGTGAAAAGCCTCTACAAATGGCAAATCACGATATAAATACTAGCTGTTGTAGAATCAGGGTTGGAAGTGATCATCTATCCATCCATATAGTGTTAATGAAGTTTCATGGATAAATCTACTTCAAATTAAATACTTAAACATTTGACAACTAGAGTATTCTGTAGTTCATGTTGCCTATGGAATTCAAGCAGCATTCTGGTTGAAAAAAAAAAACAACTTTTACTGTTAAGGAAAAGGAGGTAGGAATGAACATGTGTACTGACAACAAATAAATGTGTGATTAATGTAATTTTTAGGAAACTTCAGTTCTGTTACATCTTGTTAAAATCTGTGCCCTTTGATAAGAGGACTGGGGCGGAGATGATATAAATGTTGATTGAATTGAGGGGAGAAGAAAGAAGGAAATTAAGCAGCATACTTAGCTGGCCGCTTTAGAGGGAGAATAGAAATCCAGTCCTTTTAAATATGAGGAATGCAAAACAGTTCATCTTAAGGTGGGACATGGGTGTTGTTTCAAGTAAGACTACTGGAATTTAGATATTTCATGAGCCAATATGGTGGAATCAAAAGAGGAAAGCTTAGAATAATGCATTGTAACTGCATCCCACGAAAGATCTTTTCCTGAGTAGTTGGCTATGAGCCTGTGTCCTACTCCAGCCACCAAAACTAGGTGAAATTAGGACATGGCCCTGGTCAAGGCATTAGTTCTTAAAGACCCTGTCATTTTTGAACAGTTAATTATGATAAGAGAGCTCCATGCTTTTTTTTCCCCAAAGTATAAATGACATGTAATTACAAGTTTCAGGAGTACATCATAGCAATTTGATATTTTTATACATTATGAAATGATCACCATGATAAGTCTAGTTACCATTTGTCACTATTCAAAGTTATTATGTTATTTACTATGTTTCCTATGCTGCACATTAAATCTCCAGGACATATTTATTTTATAACTGGAAAATTGTACTTTTCAGTCCCCCTGACTTGTGTCACCTGCCATTCAACTCCTCCCCCTTCTGATGGCCAACAGTTTCCTGTATCTATGAGTCTGTTTCTGTTTTGTTTTGCTTGTTCATTTTGGGGATTCCACATAGAAGTGAAATCATACACTATTTATGTTTCTCTGACTTATTTTGCTTAGCATAATCCACTCTAGGTCCATCTATGTTGTTATATCTCCATGCTATTTATATATAGCATGGGGATATAGTAATTTACCTTAATATTCTTTTGGGAACTAGGCAGATTAAAGTAAGTAAGATTTTGGAATTTCCTTCTGAACAAAGATAAAGAGAATCCTTTAAAGAAGCTAATAAGGGGCATCTGGGTGGCTCAGTCAGTTAAGCGTCCAACTCTTGATTTTGGCTCAGGTCATGATCTTATGGTGGTGAGCTTGAACGCCGCATGAGGCTCTGCACTAGGTATGGAGACTGCTTAAGATTCACTCTCCGCCCTTCCCTTTCCCCTCCCCTGTTTATGCACATGAGTGTACAGTCTCTTAGAAAAAAGCTAATCAATGAGTTATTGATAAGGAGTTATAAAGGTTTAAAAAACCTGAATAACTTTTGAACATTTTGTCTTTAAGATCTGGTCTCTGGCTATTCTTCTTTTGAGTAAGAAATATAAACAGCTCCCTCATATGCTTACAACTAATTTACTCATCGCTCAGGTTAGTAAACCTATAGATATTTGGAATTATGCTTTTTTCATCGATTATTCTACTGTAGAGGACAAAATTATGTTGCTGGGTTTTTCCAGTTACAAAATCGAAAGTATTTTTTACCAAATGCAGTCAGTTACAACTTGATTATAATTAATTCATGCCTAATTTATTATATACCACAATAGGTCTTGAACTGTATACATTGAGGCTAATAATGGCAGGCAATGATAGTTTTGCATTTTTAATAGAAATAATTGAATCATTAAAGATTGAATTCAATCACAATCTCATTCTTCTAGTCAAATTTTTGCATGTCTCAAATTATAATGGAAAAAAGTTTAGCGTTTTTTATGTAAGTCATTATTAATTATAAGGTTAGTATTTAGAATGTTGTCTCTTTCAATTGAATATGTATATTGTTAAAGGCTGTATAACAAGGGGTTTTATCATAAAACTTGAAGCTTTAATATAGCTAGCATGATAACTATTCAGCAGTCCTTTAAAATGTATAATTAGATTTGCTGTGAATAAAAACTTTTGGATGACTTATATGAATATGACTGACTTTGTTCTTAATTTTTTTCTTCAGTCTATTGTCTGTGCTGGAATGATGATATGGAATTTTGTTAAAGAAAAAAATTTTGTGGGACAAATTCTGGTGTTTGTTCTATTGTACAGCTCCCTCTATAGCACCTATCTGTGGACAGGTAAGTTGGATCATGAATGCAAATTTAAGTTTTCCGTCATTAGAAGGTCTCAGCTGAGATCTGATCTATTGGAAGTCTAGCAGAATTGGATTAAGGCATTCTTGCAGGCCGCTACTGTCACTAGCACAGGCAGTCAGCAACGCAGAGCTCCGTTTCCTGATGTATTGTATTCCTGACTGGCTTCAGGGGGTTTCCAGTCACGTGGTCTTTTTCTTCAGGATCTTTGGCTCTTGGCCACAGTCAGCACAGCTCCCCTTGGGAAACACCAAGAGATCAGGTACTGGAGGCAAGTGAAGAAAGGAGGGAGGGAATGGCAGAGAAGTAGGAGGCATGTGAGGTATGTCCCAGAGATCACTATTAGAGTCCAACTGAACCAAGTGAAAAATTCTGGCTCTGCCTTCAGCAAATGACTTAAATTTTACAATCTCCGTTTTCTCATCTGTGAGACTAGGTTATCACACCTCAAAGAGTTACTCTGAGAATTAAATGAGTTATGGGTATTTGTGCCTGGCACATATTAGGCAGTCAACAACTGGAACTATATTATTAAATAGAGGGAAAAGTGGTTATATGAGAACAAGGAAAGTAAGGAATGTAAGGGGATGGAAATACAAGAGTTCCCAGTAAGAAAGACTATTTCTCATTTCAACTAGCTCCAAAAAAGATATTGAAATATTTTAGCATATTGTCATTTTGACGAATATAATATTTATTTGGATGCATACATTCTGGTATATTTGTGAAACATTCTGTCTGGCTGTATTGTATTCATACCAAAGACGTGAACCTAGAAAATGGCACATAAGAGGACAATGGCAGGTTGGTAGGGCTGGTTATGGCCACTGTTAGGAGGCAGGTGTCAGGAAGTGGCTTCGAGGGACAGACCTTTGATTCCATGCCTTCAAGATCAAAAGCAGGGCCCTTCCAAGTCAGTAGCCTTTTGAAGTGAAGCAACAATGTGGTGAGGAATTACAGAATAAAAAATTCAGTGCTAACAGGAGAAGGTATGTGCTTTTTGAAGGCAGTCTATCTGTAACCAAACCAAGGTGAGTTCGCTCCTTGGTGAGTCACAGAGAGAAACTACACCAGATGAGTAGTCACACAAAGGAAATTTTATTTGCAACAAATAAGGAGATCATAACTTCCAAAGCTGTGACTCCCTGCAAGGGTGAGTGGGCTCCTTTTATTTAGGGCTAGGATGAATATTTAGGTAGGAAAGCCTTGTCACTGTATGTAGAGGTGGGCACATGGTCACACATGAACCTTCAGGAGACATGGCTGTACATATGTTGTGTGTTATGTAAATGAGGCTGTGCTCCTTCTTGGGTGGAGAGTTTAGTGTTATGATGAGGTGAAGGTAATTGCTGATTATCCCAGAGATAACTCCATGGTGTGTCTGTGCAGGTGCGAGTCAGGGGTTTCACTCAAACTTGTCTGGGTGGTGTGGGTCACGAGAGCCCTTCCTCCGAGCAGTCATTATGGCTTGAGCGGTAGTTTCAGTTTGCATCATGGGATGTTATGCCTGTGGGATCCTTTGCCTGAGTTGAGAGATAAGTTGGAAAGAAGAGTTTAAGGAAAAATGTGAGACAAAGGTGGGTAAGTACAAGCACGTGAGCAGTCAGGTCAAGTCTTGGGATCCAGCTGATGACATCTTGCATAGCGTCAGAGTTTTCATGAGTTGTCAAACAGAAGAGCCTAAAGATTTCTATTTCCAAATACAGACGAACCAACTTGATCTCTAATACTTAGGTTTATTAACACTAAATTTATCATGTGAATAGGAGAGCAGCAAATAGATCAATATATCAAAAATATCCAAGTGTCCTTGAAATCCTATTTAAGCATGCATGCCAGAATCTATCGAGAGACCTTGTTCTGAATTCTGGATCCCAATGAAGGTGCCCTTTAACCTTGATATTATTATGCTATAGCATAATTTTAAACCTAAAGTGTTATTTTAAATCATTTTTTCAACATTTCCAATTTCATTCATTTGCATACTGTCTTCACAATTTTTTTAAGTTTATTTTTTTGAGAGAGAGAGAGAGAGCAAGCAAGAAAGGGGCAGAGAGAGAGGGAGACAGAATCTCAAGCAGCCTCCACGCTGTCAGTGCACAGCCCGATGTGAAGCTTGAACTCACAAACCATGAGATCATGGCTTGAGCCAAACTCAAGAGTCAGATGTTTAACCAACTAAGCCACCCAGGCACCTCTGTCTTCACAATTTTTGCCATATCTGCATGACACCTGTCCTTTTTTTTATTTGTCCCTAAAAATTTACTCACTTTTTTTACTTTAATAAATTGAGCATTATATTAATAAAATCCCAGATTTGGGAGCATCTGGGTGGCTCAGTCGGTTAAAGGTCTGACTTTGCTTCAGGTCATGATCTCGCAGTTGGTGAGTTCAAGCCCCACATCAGGCCCTGTGCTGACAGCTCGGAGGCTGCTTGGGAATCTCCCTCTCTCTGCCTCTCCCCTGCTCACACTCTGTTTCTCTCTCAAAAATAAATAAACATTTAAAAAATTAAAAGTAAAATAAAATGAAATCCCAGGTTTTGTGTGCTAGTTTTTCAAGTACATGTTAAAATAAGCAGGGAGCGCCTTCGTGACTCAGCGGGTTGAACGTGAGACTTCGACCCACGTCATGATCTCACAGTTCATGAGTTGGAGCCTTGCGTAGGGCTCTGTGCTGACAGCTCCAAGCCTGGAGCCTACATCAGATTGTGCCTCACTGTTTCTCTCCCCCTCCCCCATTCATACTCTGTCTCTGTCTCTCTCTCTCAAATATAATAAACATTTAAAAAATTAAAAATAAATAAACACAAAACTAGTCAAAAAATTTCACCTTTGTACAGTTTGGAAACACTAGTTTAGTTGAAGTCCTTTATTTTTCAAATGAGTTAAATAAGGCTCCAAGAGATTAACTGATTCAGCAGCAACTCTCACAGTTTCTGCCAGAAACCCAAGAGAGATCCAGGGCTGGGCCTGTTTGTATATTAGTCTTTTCATAAGGCAGGAATGATGACCTTTAAAACTTTAAAGAGTACCATCACGACCATGACACAGTTGGCATACTGTTGTGTACCTTGTTTCCCAGGCACTTTGAAAACCTGGAACTATAGAGTATACAAATGTACTTAGGAAGGAGCAGTGGTATTAAAGTAGCTCTTGAACTTGAGTAAGGTGTGGGTTCTCTATACAGGAAAATAATTCTCAAGAGCCTCAGTGTTGATTTGTAGTATTGTAACATAGTGTTACTTAATCTGTACCATCTCGGATCTGAGTCTGAATTCCTTATATACAGCCAATATACAACTTTAAAACCAAAGCAAATTCACAGATGAGAGTCTCAGTTACAAATTCTAATTAGCAACATTCATTGACATGACAAAGGATCTTGTTTTGCTAATCTGAATCACAGCTTGAAATGTAAAAAATGGAACTCATTTCTCTGGTAAGAGGTTTTATTTTTTTCAGTGTGGCTTGCCTTTACTTTCATGTTTGGATTTATGACCAGGTTCATCTCACTGCTTTTCTCTCTCAAATTACAAACAAACAAACAAACAAAACAGAAACAAAAGAAAACCCCAAAAACTACCACAAAAAACTTCCCTTGGACCATGTGTTGTGATATCATTTGGCCTTCACTTGGCTCAAACTTAACGTAAAACCAAATGTAAGCTCTGAAATCATGAGACTGTACTTTGGTTGTAAGATGGACATCTAGATGGTTATCGATGAAAATATACCAAATAGACTTAAAGTTTCTCATAGAAACTTCTAGACCCCACAAAATATGTCTTAAGAACCCTAGCAGTCCATGGGTCTGAAGTTTAGAAACTGATAGAGTTGGATTTAACCTTGGATCAGAAGGCTGGGTTTGTAGTCCTGCTGTGCCCTCTGCTGGCTGTGTGGCGTGGGCAAACTCTTGCTTCCGTAGCTATAGATGGAAGTGGTCCTTTCCAACTCTGAAGTTCTAAGATTCTATAACCATGTAGGGTTGATTAAATTTTACTTGTATAAATAATTGGATTGATGGTAAAAGGTACACATAAGAGTTTTAAAACGTTTGTTTTTGTATTAAGTTCACATTATATTTGTATCAAGGTCTGTCATTTAGACTTGGGTCATTTTCCAAAACCTGAACCTGTATGAGAATCGCCTATATTTTCTTAGCATCAACTGAGTGGGGGTGCTTTTTTTTTTAGACTTGTTCTGTATCCATTTACATTTTTTTAAACAAATATACTTAGATTCCAAGCACATCAGTCAAAAGAATAAAATGATTTGGGCTTTTGAAAAAAATCCTCATGTACAAAACAAGAAGATCTGAGCAAAAAAAAAAAAAAAAAAAAAAAAAAAAAAAAAAAAAAAAAAAAACAAAAAAAAAAAAAAAAAAAAGCCACAGAGAAAACATGAATGATTCTGAGGAAACCTTGCTTCAAAATATCAGGGACAGCATTTCTTTAGAAAGAGCAAATTCTAGAGCAAAACCTACAGACTACCATTGACATAAGTTTGGTTAAAGTTCTATGAAGTCTGATCAACATCAAGAGAAATTGTCTGCCTTTCAGTCTCTATGTCTTGTTCATCTTATTCGCAGGCCTTCTGGCAGTTTCTTTGTTTCTTTTAAAAAAGAGAGAGAGTGTACAAATTCCTGTTGGAATCATCATCATATCTGGCTGGGGGTAAGTTGATCGTTTTCTGTTTGCTTCCATGTTCCCATATATACAGTTCCTGTTCATCCTCTTTTTCTCTCTCAAACCCTTATTATAGAATCCCTGCTCTCCTTGTTGGTGTTCTTCTGATAACTGGAAAACATAATGGGGACAGCATTGACTCGGCCTTCTTTTATGGCAAAGAGCAGGTAAGGAGAGTCTATGGACGGTTCTGTTCTTGGAAATGTCTCCTTTTAGCTTGTTACTGTGTTTCGCTCTACTTACATTAAAAGTTATTTTACAAATCTATTCCAGTGTATTGCATATCACATTGGTGCTAATGATTTCCAAATGCCTCAAACTTATTGAAAAAAACTTTTTTTTTAGGTTTATTTATTTTGAAAGAGAGTGTGTGAGTGCTCATGTGAGCAGGGGAGGGGCAGAGAGAGAGAGAGAATCCCAAGCAGCATCAGCACAGAGCCTGACATGGGGCTTGAACTCACAAACCATGAGATAGATCATAACCTGAGCCAAAATCAAGAGTTGGATGCTCAACCAACTGAGGCACTCGGGTGCCCCAGAACTTATTGGGTCTTCTTAAACTCACTTATGAATTATGTTTCCTCTACTGGAGGAAAGAGTGATTAATGTAAAGCTATTTAATAAATTAGCAGTAATAATAAAAGCCATGTTCTTGACTTTGAATCCTCTTTCAAATATACATTTCAGAACAATAAGTATCTGGGGCAAAGTATGCTTGAGGAGTATAGTGTATCTACTGATGAGAATTCTCTAGGGCTAGGGCCCAAAGATATGTGTTTTTAAATAGTGTTTTTTGTTTGTTTGTTTGTTTTTTAACATTCAATGTTGAGAGAACACAAGCAGGGGAAAGGCAGAGAAAAAGGGACAGAGGATCTGAAGTGGGCTTTGTGCTGACAGCAGCAAACCTGATGTAGGACTTGAACTCACAAACCAAACTTTGAGATCATGACCTGAGCCGAAGTCTGAGGCTCAACTGACTAAGCTAGCCAGGTGCCTCCAAGGATGTGTGTTTTTTTAAAGACCGTCAGAAGATTTTGATTTCCATCTTTTTTCTCTTTTATAATTTTGAATTTTATTGGGTTGTTGTGAGAATAAATATTATACATATAAAGGACTTAGACTAGAGCTGGCATAGAGTTGGTACTCAATAAGTATTAGCCAGAATTATTTATGTTTAGTATTATTACCATAACAGAGTCTCTAGCTGAAGTACCCTTGAACTTAGGTATTAAAGCAAGCAAAAACTTTAAATTAAAAAAGGTCTGTGAGCAGTCATTCAGATTACATAGAGGAAACCGAAGGTATTGATGTACAGTGAAAGAAGCATCTAGAAATCTTACATGATTACAAGCAAATCCTAATTCCTCTACAAGTAACTTATATCCCTTTCATACTCTTACTCCCTTTTGAGAACTACTATTCTAAAACATTTATAGCTGTGGAGATATTGCATTTCCCACCCAAAAAAGTTCCCTTAAGCTATTCTACTAAGATTATCAAAATGGGATTGTAGACAGTGTGACCTAATGTGTCTTTGCAATGCCGGCAGATGATCATCACGGCGGTCACCCTGTTCTGCAGCATCGTGATCGCGGGCATATCACTCATGTGTATGAACCGCACCACCCAAGCGGGTCGCTATGAAGGCTTCGACCAGTCTCAGAGCCACAAAGCAGCAGAGCCTGGGAACGCCGCCTTTGAGGAGAGTCCAGTGCCAATAAACGAACCAGAATCTTTTACAAGCTCTATCCCAGAAACAAGTATGATCCTTAAATACAAAGAAACGCTTCTGTGCCTGTATAGCATGTATCCTAAGTGTTTGGTTTCAGGGAGCTTGTCGAACTATCTGGAATATCACAGGTATTTGCAAATGAGGGACTTGAATCATAGTCAGTAATAGAGCTTGCAAGTTCTTCATTAGATTCGCATTTATAAATCTCTTGTGAGGATAATCTTATGTTAAATCCTAAAACTTCTTTGGACCCAAGAGTTTAGGAAAAAGTAACAGCTGAAGGAAATCCCCTTTTAGGAAACTAAGCCCTTAAAACATGTGTGAAGTTGGCAATATTGTATCAGGCGAGCACCAGAATAGAATGAACTAAGGAGGCCTGATGAAGCAGAGTGGATAGTCAGGAACTGGCAAACTGTAGTCCGCAGGCGGGGTCTGGTCCACCACCTGTTCTTACATGTTCCGTGTACATAGTGTTTTTGCTCGAGCACACCTGTGCTCACTTATTTCTGCCTTGTCACTGGCTGCTTTCATGCTAATGCCGGTAGAGTTGAGTCATTCACCAGAGACCCAAGGGCCTGCAAAGCGTACAGCATTTATCATCTGGTCCTTTATAGAAAATATCTGCCAATCCCTGGTATAAGTGAAAATATGATCTTAACTACTAACTTTGTTAGTAAGTGTTAACAGTTGTCGTGGTATTTGCTTCAATTCATGAAGGGAACCCAGCAACAGAGTATGCGTTTTGGATTCATTATTATATGTGGAGATTTCATAGACATAAAATATTGTGCCAGGAAGAGTCAGTGATGGTACCTATTTTTGTTCAGAGACTTTGTGGAGTAGAGGGATGACTAATCTCAAAACTATTAGTTGTAGGAGCTTAAGTCCAACTTAAGCTCAGGTCATGATCTCGTGGTTCTAGGATTTGAGCCCCGCTTTGGGCTCCCTGCCTTCCAGGCTCCTGGCTTTCTGGGCTCCCCGCTGTCCAGAGTCTGCTGTCAGCAAGAGCCTGCTTCTCAGATCCTCTGTTCCCCTCTCTCTCTGCCCCTCCCCTGTTTGTGCTTGCTCTCTTTCTCTCTCACACAAATAAACATTTTAAAAAACGATTAATTGTAAATATCAATAAATAAAGGATAAAAAAGAAAGATCTTAAATTTTTAACTATTTTGTTTAAAAAAAAAAAAAGAAAATCCCACAAATCTTAACATTTTGTATTGCCTCCTTCTCCCTCTCTCCCTTCCTTCCAAACTGGAAGTATATAGCACAGTGGCTAAAAATGAGGGTCGGAGCCAGACTGCCTGGGTTCCGATCGTAACTCCACAGTGTACTGCTCTTTGATCTTGGGCAGGCTCCCTGTGCCTCACCTTCTTTATCTGATGCTGCCAATCTTACTTCATAGGACCACGGAGTCCTGCCACACAGGAGTGCAGTTTGCCAGCTCCTGACTTACACCACTATCCCTGCCGCACCCAGGACTCCTTTAGTTCATATGATGAGTGGTGCTCACTAGTTTTTTTATCAGATCCTCTGTGATTACAGCATCAGAATTTCATTCTTTTGAGCCCTGTTGATCTTTTCCCTTTTAAAATGGAGGTTCAAGGATTCTATTTACGTTTTCATTAACATTTTAAAAGCTGCTTTCCGTAAGTCTGGAGTACTTGTCTGGTCCTGCCCAGCACCCTTTCCTTCCCCAGTTTTATGGACTACAGCGACCCTACAAAGGATCCTGAAGACCACCACTCTGGCTGGCTCTCTGTGTCTTCTCTCCCCAGGACTGTTTCCGAACTGGCTGCGGAAAGCCTGACAACTTGTGTGGGGAACATGAAACAAAGTGTCTTAAGCCCAGACAGAGCCTTTTGCTGCTACCTCTACCTGTATTTTATTTTATTTTTGTAAAGTGTATTTATTTATTTTGAGAGAGAGAACCAGCAGGGGAGGGGCAGAGAGAGAAGGGGACAGAGGATCAGAAACAGGCTCTAACCTGTCAGCACAGTGCCTGACACAGAGCTTGAGCCCACAAACCATGAGGTCATGACCTGAGCCAAAGTCAGACACTTAGCCAGCTGAGCCACCCAGACACCCCCCAACCTGCCACCACCACACGTGTATATTAAAAAATAACAATTAAAGTGTACCATAGATAGTCTTTAAACCTTGTCGTCATCCTCTCCAGCCGGAAAACTAGCTTACCCTGTAATGTAAATAAATGAAGAGCCAGAAGACAGCTATCACGTGGTTCTATAGGAAATCTTCCCCAGTGTTTGTATTTCCCTCTCCTTGTATCTCACTGTTTTATAATTGCCTTTCAAATTACCTGCATAACCCACTTGACTGTTAGAGCTGTGACTGACTTGCCCATTATTACAGCCTTACCACCTAGCATGGTATCAGGCTTGCTGTAAGTGTTTAGTAATGTTTGTGAAATGGATGGGCAGATGGGTGGGTGCATAAGGTACACCATGATTTTCTGAAGCTGCCCTACAAATCGCCATGGCAAAGTATGTGTTTATTTGCCTATTCACAGATGTTCGTAGCCAAAAGGCTTTAAAACCTACATGGTTATTCTCCTTCCCCAAATCCTGCTGTCTTCTGCTTCACTAGTGGTGTTAACACATAACACATTTGGTGTCTAGCCTGGCCTCCTGAATCTCAGTAATCCAAAATAGTTCACTCACTTCTACCTCTTGCTACACTTTTGTCAGAGACCTGTGATTTGCACATGTTGTAAATGTGGAATTAGATTGAAAGGGAAATTAACCCATTTTAATATGAGATTGAAGGTTTAATTAGAAAAGAAAAAGCTAATAGGCTGGTTATACATCCTTCTTATGTTAGAAGATAAAAACTGCCATAGCGCTTTCTGTGGTGGCTATAAATGTATGCAGGCACGTACATGCCCTACGTGTATGTCACTGGCACAGGTTGGCTTTATCTCAGCTGACTTAAGCCTTCAAGTTTCTGAAGATGGGGGGCTGGGCCAGATGATCTCTGTATTTTCTTTTCTATTGTGCTGTGGTTCTCTTTTAACATTGAGAGATGGTATCATTATCTTAAATTTAGAAAGACACTTGTGATAGTTTATCCTAGATTATTATTATTCAACTTTTTTTTTCTGTTAAGAACACTACTGAAGAATCAAAACATATAATCAATGAAAGTTTCAGCCTAGGCATTATTCCTTTTTCTAGCATATTAAATTTTAATATGGTTTATCACTACTATAACTGAAGTTATTATTCTATTCAAATCCATGGTCAAGGAGCTCCATGCCTTATATATGTATGAGATGTTGAAAGGACACTGCATGCATTCTCTGACTGTGCAGAGGAAAAGTTACAGCTCGATAGCAGCTGTCTCAGTGTGACTTCTGCAAACCAGTCTACCTATAAAGCAGCAAGAGATTTTCAGCTGTCTGTATTTGAAAACACAAAAGATATAATTGTTTTTACTGCATCTTCTAGACTCGTAGGAAACACATTCTTGAAAGAAGTGAGTCTTGACCTAAACGTAAAGGAAGAGAGGACTTCAATGAATTAAGAAGAGTGGGAATTGTACCCGTGTCTAACTAGGTCCAGAGACCCAAACAGGTCTGGGTTTTGTGGAGGACACTGAACAATTGTCCTGAAAGAAGGGAAAGGCATTATTGAGTAGTGGGAGCAGTCAGATAGGGAGAGAGAACCAAGTCCTCAAGAGCCTTTCAAATTCAAGCTAATGAGTTTGAATTAACTACAGTAAACAATAGAGCACTAGTGCATGTTTTTAAGGAGTGATGATATAAAAGCTATATTTTAAGAAAGCGTTCAGATGCTTTCTTCTCAAAGCACAGTGGTAACTATTGAAACAGCATGGATGAAAACACTTTTCTTTGTCTCATACCACGAGGAGGCATCATATAAAGGAGCTGGCTGGGCCTTTGTCTGCCACCCTTTAAACATTAACTTTCGTATAAGCACATGTAAGTGCTTCTTGATAGGTCCCATGTGAAAACATTGTGGCTGCATGGGAAGTTTGTGTGTATGTGTGAATGGGTTGTTTTTTTGGCTTGGTTTGGGTTTGTTTTGTTTTGTTTGGCATCTCTCGAAGCTGTCCATTTCTGTTGGGGTTGGTCCTTACTGTCAAATGCTGTCTTAAATATATAGGTTGCTGCTCCTGCTCCATGGGGAATGGGGGCTTACACTGCCCATCCACCGAGCCAGTAGCAAACACAAGCACCAGCGGGCTCGTGACTCCTTCGTCTGAGAAAAGTAAGTGTCTCTGGGCTGTGAGGGTGGTAAGGAACAGAGGAGATTCCTCTCCTTATGCCTTAAAGATTTTGACTGAGGAAGCTGCACTATTTACATATTCTGAAATAAGATAGGGAAAAGTGCTAATAGGATAATAGTTGTGCATAGATAGAATACCCTTTAAAAATACAAAGCTCTTATAGCAATTGGTAGGATTATACACACATTTTCCAATAAATGTAACCCACCTGATAACTCCAAGAAGTTTGCCCCAAGCGCCATTTTTTTCTCAGATGTTTTTCTTATTTTAGCAGCTGAGACTTCCTCCCTACTCATTTCCTCCAGGACTAGGACCATTTAGTGCTTAATTACATTTTGAATCTGTATACTTTAAATATACCCTGTCTTACAAAATAAGGAAAATCTTTAAAAGTAAAAACCTTTGACATATAGACTAAGAGACTGAATTACATTTGTGGTCTGAACTTCAGGGTTTTGTTTACGCCAAAATTAGAATATAACAGTATATTAGTAGAAGTTGTACAGCATAATAATTCAATAATTGTATACATTACAAAGTCATCACCACTGTAAGTCAAGTTACCATCGGTCACCATTGACCCCCTTCACTCTTTTCACCCTCCCTTAACCCCCTTCACTTTGATAACCACAAGTCTGTTTTCCCCCCTGTCCTAGCTCTTGATTGTCTAAGTAGCCTGATTTATTCTTGAGAGTCCTGGTTGTTGAGTGTGTGCTAGGACCCGGCAGCATGCCAAAGGGAGTGGTCTCAGTTAGCACCTAGATTCAGGCGGATTGGAAGCCAGACCCTCAGGCAGCAGTTTCTCAAGTATGCAAATATATACAGTCCTGTGAGGCCACAGTCCCAGACCCTGCTGATCACTAGACCAGGAGATCTGAAGATTTCCTCTGGGCAACAGTTGCCAAGAGTCAGAGCTTGAGACAAGCATAAAAGATCATTTCTGGGAGATACTAGTGAGCTGTGGTGAGGCCAAATAGGGGGCAGGGGTGCGTACAGATGGTGTCTCCTTGCGTACATCCTCTGAGAGTGCCTTAGATGTGTGGCAAACCTGAATCCTATCCCTCAGGTTAAAGTTCCTGGATAATTAAATGGACCTTTTTCACATACAGTTTGGGAGTGTGTTTCAGTCTGCTGTCTGTGTGTTGTGCAGGAAGGGTATGGTATCTTGTCCAGAACTGTTTTCCCAACTGCTACAGACCCATGGAGCCCAGGACCACAGGCCCCTCAGGCCACCAGAGCCAGGCAATCAAGAGCGGCCTGTCTGTGGACTGAGTTCATCCATCAGCCTTAGCAAGGCTGTTGGAGAGGGTTGGGTGTAGGGCACACCTGTGCCAGGAAAGAGCATTAGGGATGGGGCATGCCTGCAATTTTAGCAATGCTGAAGAAGAGCATTCTGGGGGGTACATGCCTTGGTTTTAGCCACACCTCCCTGCCCTAGCAAGATGGAGGGACAGTGCAAAAACTGGCACTCTCCAGCAGCACTCTCCCCATTCAAGGAAAATTCCAGTGAATCTTTAAGATTAGCAATTGAATCTCCTTCACATATAATCCAGTCGTCTCTCAAACTGGTGCTGGTTCCCCAGACGGGTGAGTCCATGCTGAGCTCCCCATAGCCCTTGGGTCCCCTAGACATAAGCCCCATTGGTTTCCAGAGCCAGACTTTGTTGGGGCCTCATCTGTCTGGTGCAGGTCCCGATGGTCGGGGTAGCTGATGTGGAACACAGACCCCTCACTCCTCAGGGAGAAGCTCTGAGCCTGTGAGATCCTTCCCTAGTGTGTGTTGCCGCACCCAGGGTGAGGGTTTTGGTAAGACTGCAGCTCTGCCTTTCCCACCTGGCTCCATGGGGCCATTTTCCCCTCTTGGCTGAGGAAGCTGCTCGGCTAGTTTTCAGTTCTTTTCAGGTGGGAGTTATCCCATATATAGTGGTAGATTTGGCGTGTGTGTTGGAGATGAGTTCAGAGTCTTCCTTTGTACCGTCTTGGGCCATTCCCATGCACACACAATGGAATTCGAGTTATTGAAAACAACCGAAAGCACTTACGGGAAATTGCAGTGCACTTTCAGCTAATTATGATTATTTATAATCAAGTTAGAAAAGGAAACCCCCCAAAGCCCTCTCATATGTCAACTGTATTGTTGCCAAAGGCATTTCACTTTTATGTAAGAGCTGTGATGATTATAAATAACCATGTATGCAAATCACCTAGCACAGTGTGTGGGGTACGTAGTAAATGTTCAGCAGACATAGCGGTCGCAGTAGTAGCAGTTGCTATTAGTCTAGCAGCGTTTATATTTGGCTACTAGCTGCTGGCTAGGAATGGATTTTAAATAGTGGAACTCACATTTCTACAGAAAGAAGTGAAAATATATCAGATGTTGGGCCTTCATTGACTTTCTGACAGGAAACCCCATTGGGCATTCAGTGAAACTGTCTTTCAGTTTTGGGGTGCTCATTCTATAAACCAATGTTTCTTTACATCCTAATTCCCAAGGCTCTCCTTATTTGTCCTCCCCACACAATATACCTAATAGTAAAGTCCATTGACAAAATCAACATGTAATTTAATTTGACATTTTTGTCCCTGAAAATTGTTTTGCTTTGTTTATCTGTCATTTTATTCATTAATAATGCGGATTCCTGAAAAACTCTTTTATAGGAGCTTCTTAGATTTTCTGATTCTCTTTTGCAAAAATTATACAGAAGGAAAGCCAGCATATATGGACTTCATATACTCCTACAATTTAGTATCATTCCAAAGCCTAAAATAAAGAAAGACAAAAAGAAATCAGACCATGGACATGTGAGGATTTTGAGAGTATAATAGTATGATTAATCCCTCATCCCCAAAACACTGGTACAGCACAAAGGCAAAATCAGTATTGCAATAATGTGTAAAAAGGGCAAAGGAAAGATAGTGAATTTATTTTTATCCATTTTTGTACTATTTTGTACAGTATTTGAAGACCAGGTCTATTATACATACTGATAGAATTTTCCTAGACCAAGATCTATGCAAATAATTTTTATTACAACAGAATCACACCACAGACATAGTTGGGCAGCCTTTCTTTTCCCTTAGCAACATGGTACACTTCCCATGCACCATGAGCTGTCCTGCTAGACCATGGTTAATGACTACATATGTCTCTTTCTAAAAAGTGTCCCTAGGAAATACAAATTTTTCTTGTTTACTTCGAGGGTTAAGTGATAAAATTGTGTTTTTCATCTTTCACTTTTTAAAATCAGACTGTATGTTAGGCTAGACATCCATTTTGTAAAAAAACCGCTTTCCCCTGCTTCTGAGGCAATGTACCTAGTGGAGGGGAGGCAGAAGAAAGGACGTTTCTGGGGAAAGGCCCCTCCCCTGTGCTCTAGGCCACAGAAGGGTCATATCTGTGATCTGGACTTGGTTCTGTGTGTGAACAGAACAGTGTGTAGCAGTTTTTATTTGATTTCTTAAAGGTCTTGTCTAAGGCAGATTTTTAAACTCTTTCATGAAAGGCAAAGGGAAATAGTAAGTTTGTTACAGTTAGCCAAAATAGGACATTCGTGACCAATTATGCAGATTTGTTATAGATGAAACATGAGTTATTAATTTAGTCTTAAAAAAAGAAATTAAGTTATATAGAGAGTTATAATATATAGCTAGTGGCTATAATAACAGCATGGGGGAAGTGGGTAGTGTTGCTAAGTAAAAAGAAAGCAGGCTGCCAAATTGTGTAGTATGATCCTACGCCAATAAAAATTATTTGTGTATATCGTGGTGTAGAAAACTTCTATAAGTATATACAGTAAACCTGGTCTTAAATATATATATATAACACTGTTGAATAGTGTAGAAGGGAACTATGGCATACCACTTGTATTTGTTGGAATAAAAACACTTGACAAGTAGAACGCTCCTGAAACCACATGAAGGAGGCTTCCTCCGATTTCATCTAAAATAATATACTGATTCTGAGCTGAATGTGCATGTGCGCTGGTTTGCTTCGAAAGTCATTACGAATTTAAAATGCATTCAAATAAAAAGCTCTGATTACAAATTGTTGTACTTACTGTCTTATAGATGATCATTGTGTGAGTCGCTGTCACTCCCAGAGCTGCATGTTAGTCCAGGAAGAAGAGCAGTATCTACAGAGTGGAGACCAGCAACTGGCTCGACATGTGTTGCTGTGTTTACTTCTCATCATTGGCCTGTTTGCTGTAAATGTTTCTTCTGATTTTGTTTTGGGGCCATTTCTTTAAATGTTTGGCAAAGATTTTGTTCAGGCATCTGGGAGAAACATAGTTATTGCTTCCAGGGGCGTGGCAGCTAGGCCAGTTTGAATCCCGATCTTGAGCAGTGTGGCCCAGAAAGGGGAATGAAGGATTCACAGCACCCTGTTGCCTAAATGCCCCAATACCCTATTTTGCTTAGAGGCTTAGAGACATTTACTCATTCTATGCTCTGAACCTAGAACTTGGTAAAACCAGGTATCTCCATGTTGTGTGCAGGGCCGTTCTGTGAATACATGCCTACGTGGTCTCCCAGAAGACATTCCTCAGATAAACTTTTTTTAAAAAATTTTTTTAATGTTTTATTTATTTCTAGGAGAGAGAGAGACAGGGTGAGCAGGGGAGGGTCAGAGAGAGGGAGTCACAGACTGAAACAGGCTCCAGGCTCTGAGCTGGCAGTCAGCACAGAGCTTGACACGGGGCCCGAACCCACGAACCGCGAGATCATGACCTAAGCGAAAGTCGGATGCTTAACCGACTAAGCCACCCAGGCGCCCCTCCTCAGATAAACTTTGCGGAGGGATTTTTAATTATGAAAATAGCGTAACCACTTCATGCCATAGATATTTACTAAATTAATGCCCTCTCTTTTTTCTTATTTATTATTTTTTTTAATGTTTCTTTATTTTTGAGACAAAGAGAGACAGCATGAGCAAGGGAGAGGCAGAGAGAAAGGGAGACACAGAATCTGAAATAGACTCCACTGTTAGCATAGAGTCCAACGCGGGGCTTGAACCCACAAACTACGAAATCATGACCTGAGCTGAAGTCGGACACTTAACCGACTGAGCCACCCAAGCGCCCCTGCCTTCTCTTTTTTAATTCATTTTTTATGGTTCTAAATTGTACCCAGAGATTTATACTCTGCTTTGTCACAAATGCCAGTCATTTTCATGTGGCTACATAGTTGTTCATAACTGTTAATTTAAATGGCCCCTCGTGGGGCGCCTGGATGGCTCAGTTGGTTAAGCGTCCTACCGCTCAGGTCATGATCTCACGGTTTGTGGGTCCCAGACCCGCGTCAGGCTCTGTGCTGACAGCCAGCTCAGAGCCTAGAGCCCGTTTCCGATTCTGTGTCTCCCTCTCTCTCTGACCCTCCCCTGCTCACGCTGTCTCTCTCTCTCTCTCTCTCTCTCAAAAATAAACAAAACATTTTTTAAAAATTAAATAAATAAATAAATAAATGGCTCCTCAGTAAACTATAGAGGAGAGACATTGGAATTTACCCAACCACTTCTTTATGGATGATTATCCCTAGTTTTTCCAAATGCTCTAATAAACATCTCTCTGCAATATTTCATTGTGACAGAATCTCAAACTTGGGAAACCTGGATCAAAGAGTATAAATATTTCTGTGCCTTTGGATGCCTTCTACTAAATTGTTTTCTGAAGAAGTAGTATAGATTTGTAAAAGTACTCCCACCAGCACCGAATGTTATGAATTTTTTTTTTTTAAGTTTATTTATTTGAGAGAGAGAGAGACCAGGGAAAGGGCAGACATAGAGGGAGACAGAGAGCTCAAAACCATGAACCATGAGATTGTGACCTGAGCCAAAATCAAGAATCGGACTCATATCAACTGAGCCACCCAGGCATCCCTGAATGTTAAGAATTTTAAAGTTTGATAACTTTATAAGTCAAATATAGCACTTTATTTTCTAAATGCATTTCTTTGATTACTAAGGGATTTTAAAATTAGTTTTATGTCCTCTTGTGTGAATTATCAGTTATTATTATATAATTCTTTAAGATGCTTTGAATGTAACTTGCCTACAGATGGGAGATGGACCTTATATATAACCAATGAAGAAACCTTTTTACATTGAGTGCTATCCGCCGGCACCATTTTAACTGCTGTTTAAGAACAAAATCAAAAAGAGCTGCCTGGGTGGCCCAGCCAGTTGTGCATCCGACTTTGGCTCAGGTCATAATCTCACAATTCATGGGTTCGAGCCCTGCATCCGGCTCAGTGCTAACTCGGAACCTGGAGCCTGTTTCGGATTCTGTGTCTCTGTCTCTCACTGCCCCTCCACTGCTTGCTCTCTCTCTCAAAAATAAGTAAACATTAAAAAAGTTATTTAAAAAAGAACAAAAATAAAAAAGTAAGAAATGCTGCCAAGAACCACTGCTTAGTGGTGTAATTGTTTTCATTGTGTAGAACTAATTTTAAAATCAGACCTGTCTTAGGTTAGTTGGCAGTACTGATGTATTATGTAAGTCTCCGTATTATGGCACATGTCTTCTTGCTTCAGATCTGATCAAATTAGATGCTGTTTGAATGACATCTGTCAGGAGGAGAGGTTGAAACCTCTTGTTCAAAAGACAAAGTCTCTATATTCTCTCGGTGTTTTTCCTTTTAGTCTTTTTCTCCCTAATTATTAAGCAGATAAGTTATTGTACTGTGTTCTGGAAAGAAAGAAATGATTAGCTAGCTTCATTTAAAATACTATTTTCACCTTCCTTTACAGAATCTTTCCAGTTGTTTATGGTGGCTATTCAACCAAGAACCTGGAAGGCTCTATGTCGAGTTACAGTTTTTCTGTGCTGTGTTTAACTTTGGCCAGGTATTTGTTTACTGAGAACTTTGGGGCTTTTTTGTTTCCCTGGATGGGTGGTTTGGGACGTAGTGGTGCAGATGTTGTCATTTTCTTTTAAATCAAAAGGGTTTAGTTGGTTTGCCAGCTGCCCGTGTGTGTGGCAGCTGACAGCTGCTTCCTATCTCCATATTGGTTCTAGTCATCAGAATACTCATTGAGTGTTTCAGTCACAAACACCAAATACTTTTTTGCTTTGGTTTTAAAATAAAGAATGATAATTTAAGCAGGGACAAGATGTCCCAACTTCTTTTGAAACTTTGTTATGGTCTTAATAAGTCACTTTGGGAAAAAAGACTTACCTTCTCTGCACCTTTCGTTGGTTGAGTCACTTAAATTGATGAACATCATTTCATTAACATGTTGACCCTTCTTGAATGATAGGTGCTTAAATCTTTTTTAGAAAATCATGTGATGGATAAATACATGTGGGCCAGGGATCATAGATACCATTCCTTAGCACTCTACTACCATATTCCAACCATTATTAAGCATTTTACATTGGTCGTCTTAAATATCACAGGAAAACCTTCAAAGTGACATTATCATTCCCAGTTTTAAAAATTAGGAGCTAAAATTTCCTGAAGAACTAATATAATAGTTGCCTTTATGTCACTATTAAAACAGATATTAAAGAATAAATGACATTTTACATATTGGGAAAATATTTTTCTGTGAAAATTTGAAACTGTGATTCTGTTTTCAATCCCTTACTTCTTAATAAAGAGAGAATATTAGTCCCCCAGACTAAGTATCAGGTTGAAAAAATAGTGTTTGAAATCACTGGTTTTGTCTCTTAAGCCTGAAATAATCAACTACCTGAGTCAGTTAGCTTTGATCAGTAGACACCCCTGCACATTTTACCCCAATATTAATCTCTTGAAATATTTCCAGTTTGTGTTTTGCCATTATTGTGGGAGCAAAATGACTACATCTAGATAGATAAGTGCTCTGAGCATTTTATTACACATAGACGTGGGTATCCAAGGCTACGTGATGCCCACCTGACCTTGTGAATCTGCTAAGGTCTGATTTTGGAACCCAAGAACTATAAAATCCTAGGTTGAAAACTCATAGCCTCACTCAGCATTTTGATTTTAGGAAGCCCACCCCAGGCTGTCACCCCAGGACTGGAACTGAGAAAGCTTCACAAAGAAGCTAATGCCAGGAATGGTGATTTGAAATGAGGCCCCCATAGCTAATGGCCCAGTGTTTCAAAGGAGAGAGAGCTATACAAACTCTGCCCCCCCGCCCCCCCCCCCCGACTCCCATATAGGTCACTCCTTTTTGGTTGCTTATAGTTTGGGGCTGAAGAAAGGTAGATCCTTCTGGCAATATATTGCATTGTCCATCCCACCTCCCACCAACCTGCACTTAGATCCTATTCCCACTGTGCCTGGCAAATGGCAGTTCCCAACCTCCTGTCTCCCCAGCCAATCCCAGTCATCTTGACCTGTGGCTGCTTTCTGGTGCCGGTTTTCCTCATCAGCCCCCAACCCCCAAAACCCTTTCCCTAAACACCGAGCCGATTTCATGTCACATAAAGTTTGTGCACAAATTCCTTGTAATCAGATACTATATAATTCTATAATTTCTGAAGTGTTAATAGAAATATAATAAATGCTAAAACACAATGGGAAATCATTAGTTTTCTTTTTTAAAAAGGGAAAGCAAAGACATGAAGCTCTTAAATGTCTTTGTTTTTCTTCAGTAAGCTAGGATGCAGAGACGGCAGCTCAGGCCTGGTGTAAGTCAGTGATCCAACCTAATTAGTAGGACAGATGATGAGGGAGAGGCAGCCACATATCCTCCCTGCCTCCAGACAGCGAACTTTAGAGGACCTGCCTTGTGTGTTCCATTTAAACTACTGCTCTGATCACTATAGGTTGGCCTCCCCCAGCACTAAGTATATGGTGGCTTCCATAATTTCTCAGTCTTAACATTCTGCTGTTGAATTCATAACTATAACCTTTCTTCTTCCACAGGGATTTATTTCCTTTGGCATCTTTGGATTGGACAAACATTTAATCATTCTACCTTTCAAAAGAAGGTAAATTTAACTTTGAAATAAGTCAGTATCTGAGGGCACCTGGGTGGCTCAGCCAGTTAAACGTCCGACTTCAGCTCAGGTCACGATCTTACAGTTTGTGAGTTCAAGCCCCGTGTCAGACTCTGTGCTGACAGCTCAGAGCCTAGAGCCTGCTTCAGATTCTGTCTCTCTCTCTGCCCCTCCCCTGCTCACCCTCTGTCTCTCTCAAAAATAAACATTAAAAAAGTTTTTAAAAAGAAAGACATCTATATCTGTAAAGGTAATGACATGTCCATTCTATTAAGATACTGGTATTTTTAAACCTTTAGTAATTGCTAGGAGACCACAGAAAGGTTAAAATGAACATTACAGAAAGGTTATGTGTTGATTCACACATTTGTTGTAAATAATTGCATAGAAGAGGCACCTGGGTGTCTCAGTCAGTTAAAGCCTCCAACTCTTAGTTTCAGCTCAGGTTATGATCTCACAGTTCATGGGTTTGAGCCCCACATCAGGCTCTACACTGCTGGTGCAGAGCCTGCTTGGGATTCTCTGTCTCTGCCCCTTCCCTGCTTGTACCTGTTCTCTCTCTCTCAAAATAAAGAAAAATAAACTTTTAAAAAAATAAATAATTGCAGAGAAAATATTAGAAGAACTCTTATTATGCCAATATTGTCATTTGCATTTCAACGAGAATTGATGGATGAGAACTTCTTTTTTTTTCTTTAATGTTTATTTATTTTTGAGAGAGAGAAAGAGAGAACACAAGATGGAGGAGCAGAGAGAGAGAGAGTGGGACAGAAGATCCGAAGCGGGCCCTGCACTGACAACAGAGAGCCTGATGTGGGGCTTGAACCCATGAACCGTGAGATCATGACCTGAGCCAAAGTTGACCGACTGAGCCACCCAGGTGCCCCGATGGATAAGGACTTCTATCTATGGCATTAACTACATAAAGTAAAATGAAACTTGAAAATGTATTTAGAGAGGCGCCTGGGTGGCTCAGTCAGTTAAGCGTCTGACTTCGGCTCAGGTCATGATCTCACAGTCCGTGGATTTGAGCCCCGTGTCAGGCTCCGTGCTGACAGCTCAGAGCCTGAAGCCTGCTTCAGATTCTGTGTCTCCCTCTCTCTCTGCCTCTCCCCCACTCGCTCTCTGTCTCTGTCTCTCAAAATAAAATAAAGACATAATCAAAATTTATTTTTAAAGAAAATGTATTTAGAAACAACAATGGTAGATTGCGCAGACCCAAAGGTCTGTATTTGGCAATACAGATTCTCCTTTGACAATAGGATTTCTTTATCAAACTGACAATTTACAGAAAACTCAAGTTCCCTTCTTTCTAAATTTTTGGTCTTTGATTAGCTTGATGATGAGTTTCTTTGGATTCAGATTAGTAACTTCATTATGAGAAATAATGAAATGAGGATTCTGCAACTCAGGAGTGGAAAGAAGGGGGAAGCACATATCTTTGTTACTCTCATTTGTTTACAAAGTCAAAACCAGTGGAAACGGGAGGTGCTAATGGAGTTTATCCTGCCAACTATCTAAAAAGTGCCCAGTATATTGGTCAGTGTTCTTTCTAGTCTTTCCTCTTTTTTGTCATCATTAACATCATCACATTATTAAGATATAGTTGCTTCATTTCATGAAGGAGGAAGAGCATAACAGGAAAGTCACTGAACCTAGTTATCAGCTTCATAATGTTGATCAGTTAAAATAGTCACCACGTTTTGTCTGAGCTGGCAGAAACAGAATGGTGCTGTCTCCCAGAGCCCAGTATTTGTCTCTCTGATACTGAAACCAGAAAATGACCAAATAAAATACTTGATCTCTGGGGCGCCTGGGTGGCTTAGTCGGTTAAGCGTCCGACTTTCGCTTGGGTCATGATCTCACGGTTGGTGGGTTCGAGCCCCGCGTCAGGCTCTGTGCTGACTGCCAGCTCAGAGCCTGGAGCCTGTTTCAGTCTGTGACTCCCTCTCTCTCTGACCCTCCCCTGCTCACGCTGTCTCTCTCTCTGCTAGAAATAAATAAAACATTTAAAAAAAAAAATACTTGATCTCTGTAAGTTATTTTCACAATGTAGAATGTAGAATAAGGAAAGAACTTCATTTTTTGGTAGAAACTGAAATAGATCAAATATGTCTGGATGGTTTATCAAATGTTCAAGTCTCCACCTGCTTGGACCAGGAAACCAAGTGCGGATTAGGTCTTCGATTGGGAGACTAACAACATCTGGATGCTGTCAGTGACTGCTTTGGAAGAGCTGTGTCGAGGGGGCGATAAGCAGGAAGGAGTTCTCTCTGAGTGCTTTCCATTCCTTTAAAGTGACCTCCTTAAATTTTGGTTTTTAGACTTGAATTCCTATGGAATAATAAAGATACAGCAGACAAGAGGGGTTCTCCTGTTCCTGAGGAAATAAAAATGACCTGTCAACAATTTATCCACTATCACCGTGACCTATGTATCCGAAACATTGTCAAGGAAAGAAGGCAAGTACAAATTCAAGACAATTATATTTTAGATGAATAATTTTGGTTTGTAACAGGCTAAATAATATGGTTGTAATTAACTACATGGTTGTTTTTTTCAATAGCAGAATTAAAAGTTAAAACAGATATGGGTCAGTTTAAGAAACAGCATATACTGGGACGCCTAGGTGGCTTAGGCAGCTGGGCGTGCAACTTTCAGCTCAGGTCATGATCTCACTGTTTGTGGGTTGGAGCCCCACATCGGGCTCTGTGCTGACCGCTCAGAGCCTGGAGCCTGCTTCAGATTCTGTGTCTCCCTCTCTCTCTGCCCCTCCCGTGTCCCCACTCCTGCTGTCTCTGTCTCTCTCTCAAAAATAAATAAACACTATAAAAATTTTTTTAAAGCCAGCATATATAAGATGTTTACACTTTTTAAATGCTATATAACTTCCGATTCCCACACAAAATGTGAAAACTAAGTTAGAATGAATGAAAATGTAGTAAAATATTAACATTCACTTCACGTTGGCCGTTAAGTGTCTCTCACAAAACTATGAGATACACTGGATTTAGAAGTGACTTTCTGTTCTCCATCTCCTAGTGGTATGTTATTTCGTATTATTCATGACATTGTCAGGAAAATGAAATGAAATTTGTCCTTTTATGTCTATAACTGCAAATTTGACAATTTATGAAAATTCCCATTTAGGATGATATATATACACATATCATGCCACGATTTTATTATAACCAGGTAGCCTGGGATAGCTAGTGGAAAGGGGACTCATTGGTTGGGCACAGATTCTGGAAGTCAGCTCCTGAATCTGCCACTTATTAGCTATGCGACATCACTGGGCAAATTCAATTCTCTAAACCTTAACTTTCCTCTTCTTTAAATTAGATAACATGTTTCTTTGAATTGAATAGCAAAATCTATATGAGAGACCTAGCCCAGTTTCTGGAAATGGTAAACCATGACGAAAAGTTAGTTAAAGACCCAAACAAAATTATTTCAAAGTTCCACTTATAGATAGTTTCAACAGTTTACAATTGCTTCTTAAAATTAGGAAAGGCGGGGGGGGGGGGGGGGGGGGGCGAGGCTCCTGGGTGGCACAGTCAGGTAAGCATCTGACTCTTGGTTTCAGCTCATGTCATGATCTCATGGTTTGTGGGGTTTGAGCCCTGCATTGGGCTCTGCGCTGACAGCATGGAGTCTGCTTAGGATTCTCTCTCTCCTTCTCTCTCTGCCTCTCCCCTGCTTGTGCTCCCTCTCCCACTCTCTCTCAAAATAAATAAATAAACTTAAAAATGAAATGCAGTGAAGAAAGGGTGCTCCATGTCAGCTCTGCCAGGCCCCCCGTGACTGCCTAGACAGGAAGCACAGCTCTTGAAGTTTGCAGGCTGCTTCGCACCCAGATGGCGGAATGGGCGCTAACTGGTAGTGGTGCAGCCCTGTCTCCTGCACAGTGGCGCATTCTTCGCCACTCTGTGCAGTCCCATGGGCTACGGTTATAGCTGCCTGCTTAGTCATCAGGAAGCAAATATTCTTCAGTTGGTGGCTGGGATATAAGGTGTTGGGCTACCAATTAAAAATCGACAAGCAGGGAGAAGGCTTAGAGACAGGTTGTAATATTCAAAGTGATGTTTGTAGTTGTAAAGCATAAATTAAGAGATCTTATTACTAAGCAAGCTATTGATGTTAAAATATTTTGATTTATGTACTTGAGGAGATTTTTCATGTATATTAGCCTCTTCTCTAATTTTGAAATGAAACTCTATATTCATTGGTGGGTAAACGTTTTAAAATTTTTGTCACTTATTTCTCATCTTGTCTTGATTTCCATCCACTGTTTCTGTTGTCAAGCACTGTAGGTTTTACAGCTTGACTGATGCTTGTGGACAGATTCATGTTGTCTACTGCATATTTGTATGAAAATGTACAGAATCCATTTAATTGCCTCTTTCACATTTCTCTCCCTCTTGTTTATTTATTCGTACCTGAGGCACCCCACATTTGCATTAGGAAGACAAATTTTAAATAATCAAGAAAAAGATTCATAATCAAAGCACATTTTAAAGACCCTAGATTTATAGCAAGACAGATCACATGTATTCTTTCCTTACTTCCTAATGCACCAAATTCCTGACAAACGTCAGTAAGATTGTCTTGCTGATGAAGGCAGGAAGGAAAGACTATTGGTGGGCAGCGTGATACACAGAAAATAATGAAGTGAGATTTGAGTAGTTTAGTAAAAATAGTCACTTTTTAAGAGCTTGTAGGGGCGCCTGGGTGGCTTAGTCGGTTAAGCGTCCGACTTTCGCTTGGGTCATGATCTCGCGGTTCGTGGGTTCGAGCCCCGCGTCGGGCTCTGTGCTGACTGCCAGCTCAGAGCCTGGAGCCTGTTTCAGTGTGTGACTCCCTCTCTCTCTGACCCTCCCCTGCTCACGCTGTCTCTCTCTCTCTCCTAGAAATAAATAAAACATTTAAAAACAAAAAAAGAGCTTGTAAAAAATATTATTTAGTGTTCCTGAGACTATAAATTACTTATAAAATAAGTAATATTTAGTTGTCTACAGAATAGGTCTAATTATAACTGGCCAGCTACTATAAAAAAAGAATGCTTCTTTATAGATGCATTTACACTGTGTCATTTTTTTTTTACATGTTTCTATTTTCACAAGCATTATTGGCATTTTTTTTCTGGTGGGTCTTTCTAGGGCCAGGTGAGTTAACAAACCCTTTATATTCAGAATAGTTTCATTCCTGCCACACTTTTACCTATCATGCTGTGTTTCCCTGTCTCCTGTTTTCCTTGCTCGTCCTCTCTCATGCAGTGCTGATACCAGGGTTACAGAACATGTGGGTGAATCATTCCTTTGACATACAGGTGTGGTGCAAAGACGTCTACTGGAACCTTCTGTGGCTGTGACCTGGTGAACTGGCTCATTGAAGTCGGCCTTGCCTCCGACCGCGGGGAAGCTGTGATCTATGGAGACAGACTGGTGCAAGGGGGAGTCATCCAACACATAACCAATGAGTATGAATTTCGGGATGAGTACTTGTTTTACAGATTTCTTCAAAAGAGTCCTGAACAGAGTCCTCCTGCTGCTAATGCCAACACTCCCCCACAGGAAAGATATAAAGAAATCGAGCCTTCATCCCCATTCCCTAAGACCTAAATTATGAAGGAGACAACCCCAGGCCATATTCTAGCCCCAGACCTGTTTCTTATTAGCTGTGTGACCTTGGGCAAAGCATAACCTCTCTAAGCCTCAGCTGCCTCTTCTGTAAAATTTGACGAGGTGTGTTCCTACCCCATGCTAACATTCTATGACTTCGTGTTTGTAAAACACGCAGGAAACTGACAGGAAAAAGAGAAAACCAAATCAAAATTTAAAGTTCTGATAATAAATATAATAATTACTATAAACTAATTATGCCAACATTTTAAAACATTGCTCCCCACAGCCGTTTGCTGTAACTTCAAAACCAACATCCAATGTATCATTTGCTTTAAGCTGCCAAATTTGGCAGGTGTATTGCTGGCAGGGAATGGACCTTAAACTATGACAACTTTGCGCTTATTGATAGCACCTCCTGAAAAAGAATTTTAATGATTCCGATTAAAAAAAAAAACCCCTCCTTATTCTATTTTTCCCATTTTCTTAACAAAGAGTACTCACTAAATACTAGAAGCGGTATTTTTTTAAAGTTCATCTTCTCTTGCTTTTCTATCCAAAGTACTAATCTGTGTTGTTAGAAGGGGAATAAGAACCACCATAAATATAATCTCCAAAATCCATCCACAGAAGTATAATCTTTAACTTTTGTACTAAACATAATTTCAGTGGATTTGTTTGGATTTTATCAACAAAATTGTTGCCACGTATCAATTCCGGTGTTTGCACAAAGCACCACAATGCAAAAGGATAGTCCTCTTCCCTGCAATTAAAAACAAAAAAACTATAGTTCAAGCCAAGATTTAAAAACTTTAAACCTTACACCCCACTTTTACATCTTAGTCTTCTTCAAGTGTCCATGTATAAAAAAAATCTATAAACTTGAAAGTTATTCAGTGTTGCCCTCAGATAAGCTTTATCTTCAGTAAATTAAAGAGATCTAGTCACATGACCTTTGAATACCTAATTGTTAGATGTCAGTGCTGGTTTACCTTATTTAAAACATGTTTCTAGTATTTATTTTTCTCATACTTTTAGTTTGTCATGTAAAAGCCATTTAGAAAATAATTTATAGAGTTAAATCATTGCTCTTCTAATGCAACAAATATGTAATTTTTTTAAAAACCTGCATGGAAGCCTCGTGTATTTAACAAGTAAATTACACTTCATTGTGTAGTATTAACCTGTACCAGCTTTACGTTATGATTAGGGAATGGGGATTTTTTCAGCAGAACTGTCTTGCTGTAAAACCTTTTTTTTTTTAATGACCACATTATGACTCTCAGAATGCTCAGGGGCGAGCATAAAGCCTCATTGTTGTACCAGGAGACTTTTACACTTACAGCAACACTGATATTACTTCACATGCATGCAGGCACCACAGACTGGAGAATTTGTTTTGCAAACAAATCATACTACACCTGTTTTATTATTTGCATGAAGGGAAAAAGCTGCATCTTTTTCCACAGGAAACACTAAGAGAAAACCCGAGATCAGAATGATCTGCGGTTTCAGATAACAAAGGCTTTTAAGGAATATTTTTAGGATTATGGATATGTTAATTTTATTAAATGAAAATATTTGTAACTTTTACTGTCACTGACAAAGCAAGTTTCTCAATAAAATACCTATTTTAACTTCCATTGCCAACATCTTCTTTGAATAATCTAAAAAGTGCAGAAGCCATCATAGAGGTTTTTTCTCTGGGTCTCCTGAGAGTATTCTTTTCTTTATTCATGACTTTATGAGGTCTATATGCACAGGGCCTTGCCCAATTATGCACCCAGTAAGTACTTTTTATTAATGAATCAATATGACATTAGAGTCCTTTTCACATATTTCATAATTTTTAATATGCGGGATCACAGCTGGAAAAATTATGATAGAATTTTGATTAAAATCTATCCCTTTTAGGCACCTGGGTGGCTCAGTCAGTTAAGCGTTCGACTTCAGTTCAGGTCATGATCTCACAGTCCGTGGGTTTGAGCCCCGCGATGGGCTCTGTGCTGACAGCTCAGAGCCTGGAGCCTGCTTTGGATTCTGTGTCTCCCTCTCTCTCTGACCCTCTCCTGCTCACTCTCTGTCTCTGCCTCTCAAAGTAAAATAAAGACATAAAAAAAATTTTTTTTTAATTAAAAAAGAAATCTATCCCCTGTAGGTGCCTGGCTGGATCAGTCGGTAAATCATGCAACTCTTGATCTTGGGGTCGTCATGAGTTTCAAGCCCCATATTGGGTGTAGAGATTACTTAAAAAAAATCTACCCCTTTTAGGCTAATAGTCAATATGGTCAGTTGTTCTTTTCTTTGTTCTGAATAATTCCATGACTAGCTTTTGTTTAAACTTCAATATTTTCAGAATAAGGTAAAGTGTGCTTGGCATTTTAAGAATAATGGCCAGTGACAGTAAGTTTCTAAAAACAAGAAAGACGTAAAACTATTATTTTTTTTTACAGTTTATTGTCAAGTTGGTTTCCATGTAACACCCAGTGCTCATCCCCACAAGTGCCCTCCTCCATGCCCATCTTCCCCCCACACACACACCCATGAGTCCTCAGTTTGTTCTCAGCATTCAAGAGTCTCTCATGGTTTGCCTCTCCCCCTTTCCCCCACCATTTCTCCCCATCTTCTCCCCCATGGTCCTCCGTTAAGTTCCTTCTAATCCTCCTATACATGCAAACATATGATATTTGTCCTTCTCTGCCTGACTTATTTCGCTCAGCATAACACCCTCAAGGTCCAAAACTATTATTTTACATGTTTGCTATGCAGAATAGTTTTTGCCCAATCAATTCTATTTTGATGTTAAATATTAAATTACTTTAGGCCACTGGACATAGGTAGTCAAGTGATGTCTGATGGTTGGAAACACAGTTCAGGATCAGAAATATTATCACCATTCTTCAGGAAAAGGTGGGATGATAAATTTCTATGATTGGTATGATAGTCTGAAGTAATTAATTAAGAAGACAACATATTTACCCTCTAGAACCTATTTTTGATAAATATTACAAGTAGAACTAATTTCCAAAATTCTAGGTTGCATAATTATTTCTAGGGCAAAGTTTTGGTTGATCAACAAAACTAAAAGCCCACTGAATGGGAGAAAATATTTATAGATCATATATCCAATGAAAGTTAGTATCCAAAATATATAAAGGAATTTATACAACTTGACACTAAAAAAACAATCCAGTTAAAAATCAGCAGAAGATATGAACAGACATTTCTCCAAAGAAGACATGCAGATGACCAACAGACGCATAAAAAGATGCTCAACATCACTCATCATCAGGGAACTGCAAATCAAAATCACAATGAGATATCACTTCACACCTGTCAGAATGGCTAAAATCAAAAACCCAAGAAACAACAAGTGCTGGCGAGGATGTGGAGAAAAAGGAACCCTCTTGCACTGTTAGTGGGAAGGCAAACTGGTGCAGCCACTGTGGAAAACAGTATGGAGGTTCCTCAAAAAATTAAAAACAGAGAAAAAAAATTTTAAATAGAACTACTGTATGATCCAGTAATCACACTACTGGGTGCAATTACCCAGAATATGAAGAATATGCAAGAATAACCAAGGAATATGAAACCACTAATTTGAAGGGATATGTGTATCCCCATGTTTATTACAGAATTATTTGTAATAGACGACCAAGTGTCCATCGATAGATGAATGGAGAAAGAAGATGTGGTATATATGATGGAATATTATTCAGCCATAAGAGAATGAAATCTTGCCTTTTGCAACAACATGGATGTAGCTAGAGAGTATAATGCTAAGCAAAATAACTCAGAGAAAGACAAATACCATATGACTTCATCATATGTGAAATTGTAGAAACAAAACAGAAAAAAAAAAAGAAACCCAAGACAAACTGTTAACGATGGAGAACAAACAGGTGGTTTTCAGAGGGGAGGTAGGGGGGGAATGGGTGAAAAAGGTGAAGGGCATTAAGAGTAGACTTACCTTGATGAGCTCAAAGTAATAAATGGTATTGTTGACTATTGTATACTTGAAGCTAATATAACATTGTATGTTAACTGTACTGGAATTAAAAATAAAAAAAAATTTTGGTTGAAGACTGATATATATATTGATGTTTTCAACAAAGATCAAACAAAGTAACTTTCCATAAGGCACTCAGTTTATTAGTTATTCCCTTAGTTTATTATATCATGGTAAGTAATAAACCACATCATTGAAGGGTTAACCAAAAAAAAAAAAAGGCTTAATATCAGCTACTATATTTTACTCCTAAGAAACACATGAGATTTAAGAAAACCTTAAATTTTCTAAAGTATACTATAACGCATTAATTACCCAATTACCAAAACCCAAATACCATATTGGATTTACATAGTGAAAGTCTCCCAAACTGTTTCTTAATTCACATATCCTTATAATAATCCCTGTCTTTATTTAGGGAGTTATTATTCCCATTTTGAATATGGAAAAAGGCAGTAGGTTTACCTGAGGCTTAACAAAGGTTACCACGTTGTACAGATAGACTGTTTAATTTGCTCAACTTTACAGAGGACTGGGTAAATTATTTCCATCAGCACTTGAATGTTCATTTTACAAATATTTATTGAGCATCTAACCTGTGCCAACACAATGTTGAATACTGAGCACACAAAAGTGGGAATAAGATGGTTCTTAACCTTATAAAGCTTCTATTTTACTGTGAAAGATAGATGTGAAACATATAATTACACTTGTGATCAGAACCACGTGGCTCTAAGGGTATGAAACAACAGACTTGACCTTGTGTTTCGGGGAAAACTTTCCTGAGGAACTCATGTTTCAGCAAAATTCTAAAGGATAAAAACAACTACTTACATAAAGAAGAGCACAAGAAATGAATGGTGTAAGCAGACGGCACAGCCACTGTGAAGGAACTGGGCATATTCAAGGATTTGAAAGAGCAGCACAGTAAATTAAACAAGCCAGTCAAAGAAAGGCAAATACTATATGATTTCACTCATATGTAGAATTTAAGAAACAAAACAGATGAACATAGAAGAAGGGGGGAAAAAAAGAGACAGAGGCAAACCATAAAAGAGACTCTTAACGGGCCGCCTGGGTGGCTTAGTCGGTTAAGCGTCTGACTTTCGCTTCGGTCATGATCTCGCGGTTTGTGGGTTCGAGCCCCGCGTCGGGCTCTGTGCTGACAGCCAGCTCAGAGCCTGGAGCCTATTTCAGAGTCTGTATCTCCCCCTCTCTCTGACCCTCCCCTGCTCACGCTGTCTCTCTCTCTCTGTCTCCTAGAAAGAAATAAAATAAAAAATATTTTTAAAAAATGTTTAAAGAGACTCTTCACTATACTCCAAGCACTGCGGGTTGATGGAGAGAGGTAGGTGGGGGATACGCTAAATGATGAATATTAAGGAGGGCATTAATAATGATGTGCACTGTGTTATGTAAGTGACGAATCACTAAATTCTCACTAATTTTACACTATATGTTAACTAATTTTTTTAAAAAAACTTGAAACATTAAAAATAATACCTGAAAGAGCAGGTGCGCCTGGGTGGCTCAATTGGTTAAACATCCGACTTCAGCTCAGGTCGTGATCTCAAGATGCATGGGTTTGAGTTCTGCCTTGGGCTCTGCTGTCAGCTCAGAGTCTGGAGCCTGCTTCAGATTCTTTGTGTGCCTCTCTCTCTGCCTATACCCTGCTCGTGCTTCCTCTCTCAAAAATAAATGAATAAACTTAAAAAAAAAGAGCAGCATAGTAAAAGCTTTCTAAAAAGGCAATAGTGTACAGGGGTTTCTTTACATGTCAGTGGAAATGCAAATTGATGCAGGCACTGTGGAAAACAGTGCAGAGGTTCCTTCAAAAGTTAAAAATAGAGGGGCACCTGGGTGGCTTCGGTTAAGCGTCTGACTCTTAAGTTCAGCTCAGATCATGATCTCACAGGTTGTGAGTTCAAGCCCGACATCGGGCTCTGCGCTGACAGCTGGAGTCTGCTTGGGATTCTCTCTCTCCACCCCTCCTTTACGGTCTCTCTCTCAAAATAAACATTTTTTTAAAAGTTAAAAATAGATTTACCATACGATCCAGTAATTCCACAACTGGGTATTTAACCAAAGAAAATAAAAACACTAATTTGAAAAGATATATGCACCTCTAAGTTTATTGCAGCATTATTTACATAGCCTAGATGCAGAAGCACCCAAGTATCCATTGATAAATGAATAAAGAAGATATGGTATATATATACAATGGAATATTATTCAGCAATAGGAAAGAATGAAACCTTGCCATTTGCAAAAACATGGATGGACCTAGAGGGTATAATGCCAATGAAATAAGAGACAAAATATCATATGATTTCACTAATATGCAGAATTTAACAAAGGAACAACAACAAAAAAGAAAGAGATTCTTAAATACAGAGAAGAACTGGTGGTTGCTAGAAGGGAAGTGGATGGGGGGATGGGTGAAATAGATAAAGGGGATTATGAAAAAAACTGGCAAAAGTATAATAAGACATAGATGGGGCAGATTAGCAATATCTCGATAGTTATTAAGGACTGGGACTTATTTCAATGACTCTTTAAAAGAGTTTTAGATTCAACAATAAGAAAATGAACAACCTGATTTTTAAAATGGGCAAAAGATCTAAACAGGTATCTGTTTACCAAAGAAGATACACAGAGGGCAATTAAGCATATTAAAAAATGCTCTACAACATATGTCATCAGGGAAATGCAAATTCAAATAATGAGATACTAATACACACCTATAAGAATGGCCAAAATCTCAAACACTGACAAATACCAAATGATAAGTTAGGATGTGGAACAACAGAAACTCTCATTCACTGTTGGTGGAACACAAAATGGTAGTCACTCTGGAAGACAGTGTGGCAGTTTCTTACAAAACTAAACATACTCTTACCATACCATCCAGCACTCATGCTGCTGAGTATTTATCCACATGAATTGAAAACTTATGTCTACATAAAAACCGGCACACAGATGTTTATAGCAGCTTTATTCATAATTGCCAAAAACACGGAAGCAACTAAGATGTCCTGCAGTAGGACCTATGGCTTTATGACGGGGTATCAGCAACCAAGATATCCACACAATGGAGTATTATTCAGCACTGAAAAAGAAAGGAGCTCCCAAGCCATGAAAAAACATGGAGGAAATCTTAAATGCATACTACTAAGTAAGTTAAAGAGCAAATCTGTTAAAGTTAAAGATTCCAACGACATTCTAGAAAAGGCAAAACTGTGGAGATAATAAAAAGGTAAGTAGTTGTCAGGGATTAGGGGGAGGGAGAGATGAATAGATGGAGCACAGATGATATTTATAGCAGTAAAACCATTCTGTATGATACTCATTACTGCACGTCATTATACATTTGTCCAAACCCATAGAAGGTACAATGAGTGAACCCGAATGTAGACTATGGATTTAGGGCGATAATGATATGTCACTGTAGGTTCATCAGTTGTAACAAGTATATTACTCTAATGTGGGATGTTGACAGAGGGGGAACATTGGAGGAGGGACAGGAGGTATGTGGGGACTCTACTTTCTGCTCAGTTTTCCTCTAGACCTAAAACTGCTATAAAAAATAAAATATTTTCTTAAAAAGTTTTAGGAAGAAAATTTATTATTACATTTACATTCTTAAGAGATCACTCTGGCTGCAGTGACCGATGTGAATGGAGATAAAAAACAAAAATGGGTGTAGAACGGTTAACAGCAGGTGAGAGATAGTGCTAGTTGAGTCTAGGATGGTGTGGGAGGAGAAAGAGAAAACAAGCGAGTCCTAGAGAGAGAAGTAAGATTCAAGTATGTGTTCCCGGATAAATGAACAGACTGCTTACCCCTAGTTTCCTCATATATGAAGAGAGAGAAAGGAGGTATATGGGGGTCGGCCAAGGGTCTTTGTGATTTGAGAACCTGTCACTGAACCATATGTAAGGCAAACATAATTAACTGAGTACCTAAGACAAATCTCTTTCCTTTTGTAATGGTAGCCCCATATTAGATGAGCAAAATCAAGCACATTATGGTTTTTATGAGAGAACTTAAAAAATGAAATTTTCTTTAATCATCCACTACTTTAGTAATAATCCTAATTACAATGATAGCAACCGATAAATATGGTAATATAGTAAGAAACTTAAAATAGATATTTCTAGAAACCAATAGTGTTGAGTTCAATTCTTCTGTTTATAGTTGCACTTTGAGTCTTACTTGGTCATCTCTATGTAACTTTAACAAAGTTTTATAAACTTTGGGTAGATATTACTTATTAATAATGTTCATAATACATTATTCACTATAATGGTCTTAATGTTCATAGTACACCAATAATTCTATTTCACTGCCACTATCTCATTCCTGTTGCTATTTTCACTGAGAGAACAGAAATAAAATTTGAGAAAGATTCAAGACATAGAAACAGTATCTCCTAAGGTCTTGGTTCCCTTATCCCATTTCCTAATCCCCCAGACAAGCTCTTCTAAAAATATTAACATAAAAGTCTATAAAGGTGCAAGGCTGAAAAAGTACTTAATAATTACAGCTAAAAGCTCTCTGGTGCCAACTCTTGACAAAAAGCATATCTGAGTTTAATAAAAGTGCCTTTGCAGGATTAATACACTGTAATAAGACAATGTGTAAATCTGGAAAATTTTGTTCGAGATGATTAATATTTGCCTAATGAGAAAAAACTCATTACTTAAGAAATAATATTTTCTATTACTAAAGAAAAATCTGCTTTCTTGCTGTAATTGAGAAAATTGAGGAAATACATAACTATACTAAATATAAATCCATTCATTATTTTAACATTTCATACTTTATGCAGGATTGGATATTTAATTATTATAATTTTTAAAAAGGTATTATGGCTGAACACACACACGCGCACACACACGCACACACACGCACACACACAAATACCTGAAATACCTCCTGGCCATTCCATGATATACGTGCCTAATTCCAATATTATTTTCTTTCTCAATATTTCAGCAAGACTGTGTGCAGTTTTAATAGGGTATTACGTAAATGCTATTAAATAATAATCACACCTACTCAAACTAGGTTATATCATTTACCAAGGTGATAGATTCTGACTTTGAGGAAGATTGTTGACCATTTATATGACCTCTAAGGACTCATGTTTGACCTATAAATTCTAATTTCGTCTTTTGCACACTGAGGAAAGAGATTAACAATTTTATCAACATCAAGATGCTTGTTTTGAAGAATTGATTCCATTTCTTTGAAAAGTTCTTTCTCCAGTTTCCTCATGTTGTCCAACATGGTTTTGGCTTTTTCCTGAACAATGAAAAAATAAAAATAAGTAAATACACACACACACATATGATTCTAACCAAATTCCAACCCACCTCTACAGACAAGTTTTTTTTCATTTGGGTCTCCTTTCTAGTCTGGCTCCCCATCTCTTATTCTTTATATATAATAAGGAATGAAACTCTTTGGGGAAAATCTTTGTTCTATATTGAGTCAATGGATTAACCCCAATTTATTAGGTATTTTTAGTAGAAAAGATAAGACTAATTGCGTACGGTTAGTCTATAAGCAAGAAACTTACAAGACAAATTTACAGGACCATTGAAACTATGATATTGTGTCTGGGGAAGGTTGCTGAAAATTTAGGTTAAGATATTTTTATGAAGGTGGATCTTCTATATTTAAGATCAATATTATCAGATTAAACAAAGGAAAAAGAACAGTAGTATTCAAGGGAAAGAACAACTAAAAGAAATTTTCTCTATGATTCCTCCCTTTTTTTTTTAAATGGTAAATGCTTATTAGTTCTAAATATAAGCATTATAGAAATTAACATCATCCAAAATCTCATCTCTAGAAATAAGCAGATATATTTTTGGGCAGACAGACAGATTGACAAATAATTTTCTAATATCCATACAACTTCAGCTTTCTTCCCTCTCTGCCCCAGAGATAGAATATACATTAGAAGTAAGTGGAAGAGCTAGCTAAAGGTATTTTACAGAACCATTAACTGATTTCCCTCCATGAGGGAAAAGATTGGCCATTTACACCCTTTTGCACCTGTTTGAACCAGCTCCTGATTTCTATTGCTATAATTCCTTTTGCTTCCTCAAGATATACACATTTACATTCTTTCTACATAAAATGAATGAAGTCAATTGTCCTCCAGGTAATTATTTACTTGCTTTTGTCTGTAGTATGTTTGCACGGTTGCCATTCCCCCACCTGCTTTGCTTACACTTAAAGCAGAGAACTCTGTCCAGACCTCCTATTGCTGTGAATTCTTGACACTTGCTTTAACTTGGACTACTTTGTTTTCACTTATAATTCACAGTGTAAACACTTCCTGTAGCCTGGTGGAAGGGAGTGAGAGGCAAGCAATGTGTTCTAGGGGCATTAAGTATGCTGATGAGAGCCCAGTCTACCAGCCAGTGGTGTCTTCCCCTGCATGGGCTTGGCTTACACTCCAGACTCAGCGCAGCCCTGTGAGAAATGAGCCCCCTGGGCCTTCTTGCCTTTGCTCAAGCTCCTCAGTGATATGTTTCAAGAGTGTCTGCTCTGGAGGGATTTTCCCTTACTTCTCCCCAAGTAGCCTCCACACTGCCACTAATCGCTTTCTCAAGCACTGTCAGCTTCCTTTCTCCTCAATACTGTTTCTGGAAGGTTGGTTTGTTGTTTTAATCTTTTTTTTTTTTTTACATGTATTTATTTCTGAGAGACAGAGGGAGACAGTGCGTGAGGGAGGGAGGGACAGAGAGAAAGGGAGACACAGAATCCGAAGCAGGCTTCAGGCTCTGAGCTGTCAGCACAAGAGCCCGATGCGGGGCTCCAACCCACGAACTGTGAGATCATGACCTGAGCCGAAGTCGGACCCTCAACCGACTGAGCCACCCAGGCATCCCTGGAAGATTGGTTTTGTAGACTTATTATTAAATGTTTGTTAAATTGATGATTGACATTTTTCTAAGTAATACTGAAATTAAAATTTAAAAGCTTTTAGCATTGTAGGCTTTATTTAATAGCCATTAAATGTTGACTGACAACAGAAAGTAGTAGGAAAACAATAGAATAAGAACTGTCAAAGAGCTGGATTCTAGTATACTTTTTTTACTGTAGTTGACACAAAATGTTAACATTGGTTTCGGGTATACAATATAGTGATTAGACAAGTCTATATTATACTATGCTCACCCCAAGTGTAGCTGCCATCTCTCACCATACAAAGCTATCACAATACAAATGAACTATACTCCTTATGTGCCTTTTATCCCCATGGCGTTCATTCCCTAACTAGACATTTATAGCTTTCTCTTCTCTTCACTCATATTGTCCATCCCCTGCCCCCTGTCATCTGGCAACCATCAATCTCTTTGTTCTTTGTATTTATGGGTCTAGTTCTGCTTTTTGTTTATTAATTTGTTTTGTTTTTTAGATTCCACATATAATTGGAATCATATGGTATTTGTCTTTCTCTGGTTCTAGTCTATTTTTATGACATATAAAGAGTCAATGCTACTGGTAGTTTTAATTTACATTTCTGGGTTACTAATGAGATTGAAAAGTTTCTCAGATGTTTATTGGCCATTAGTATTTCCTCTTAAATGACTTGCCTGTTCTTTTCCTTAGCCTATTTTTCAATTGTTTCTTGGTGGTTTTTGTCTTTTGCCTCAAAGAGGCAAAAACATGTGAATTTTGAGTCTTTGTTATATTGCAAATTTTTTATCTCAGTTTATTATTTATTTAACTTTCTTGTGAGACAAAAGTTTTAAGTTAAGTCAACTACATTTGTTAGTCTTTTCCTTTTAAGGCATCTTGATTTCATGCTTCAAAAGGCCTGCCTCCTCTCCTACACTGTTGGTGGGAGTGTAAACTGGTACAGCCCCTCTGGAAAATAGTGTGGAGCTTCCTCAAAACATTAACAATAGAACTCCCCTAGGACCCAGCAATAGCACTGCTAGGAATTTACCCAAGGGATACAGGAGTGCTGATGCACAGGGGCACATGTACCCCAGTGTTCACAGCAGCACTCTCAACAATAGCCAAAACATGGAAAGAACCTAAGTGTCCATCAACAGATGAATGGATCAAGAAGATGTGGTTTATCTATACAATGGAATACTACGTGGCAATGAGAAAGAATGAAATCTGGCCATGTGTAGCAACATGGATGGACCTTGAGGGTGTTATGCTGAGCGAAATAAGTCAGGCAGAGAAGGACAAATATCATATGTTTGCACGTATAGGAGGATAAGGAGGAACTTAACGGAGGACCGTGGGGGAGAAGAAGGGGGTAAATAGTGGGGGAGAGGGAGAGAGACAAACCATGAGAGACTCTTGAATGCTGAGAACAAACTGAGGACTGATGGGTGTGGGGGGAGAGGGGGAAGATGGGCATGGAGGAGGGCACTTGCGGGGGATGAGCACTGGGTGTTATATGGAAACCAACTTGACAATAAACTATTTGTAAAAAAAAACAAAAACAAAAACAAAAGGCCAGCCTCACCTCAAAGTAAATATAACTTTTGTATTTTCTTCCAGTATATATGTGTATGTTTAAAAAAAATATTTAATTCTTTAATTTTTCTGGTATTTGTTTCTATTTTTTAATGTTTATTTATTTATTTTAAGAGAGAGTGTGTGTGCATATGGGGGGGTCCAGAGACAATACCAAGCTCCATGTTGTCAGCGCAGAGCCCAACGTGGGGCTCAAACTCATGAACCTTGAGATCATGACCTGAACTGAAATCAGAGTCTGGTGCTTAACTTACTAAGCCACCTAGTGCCCCCCAAATTTATTTTTGTGTATGTTATGAAGTTCTTGTTTTCCAAGAGCTGACCAATTATTCCAATACCATTTATAGACAAAATATATTTTCCCTACTAATATGTAATGTAGTGTTTCTTCAGAAAAAAATCACACAATTTGACTTCAAAGTCCATGTTCAGATTAAGAATCTTTGTTTTGTGGAGTTCTGCCCTATAATGGTTCAAATTTTAATTATGCTTTCTAGCAACTTTCTTCTTGTATACTTCTTCTCTCAGTACCTACCCTATAACTGGTTATGGCAATTCACCACTAACTGAAAAATTCCTTTATTCTATAAGAGTAATGACCTTATTTTTAATCTTTTGTTTGAGCTCTACTATAATTGAAGCATCTATTTTGTTTTTATTTATTATTATTTTTTAAGTTTTTACTATTTTTTTAAATGTTTATTTTTGAGAGAGATTCTAAACTATTTTTAAACCTATTTTTACATGAAGGAAGGAAAGAGAGGTGAAATTCTAAAGTTCAAAATGTGGACTGAATCACATTTTAAACTGTTCTTGATGATAAAACAGAGAATATAATTTAATCATACCTCCTTTTTGTCTATTACTTCCAATGCCTGTTGATGTTCTTGGTACAGTAGGTGTCTTCTGTCAGGCTTAAACTGAAAACGTGGCTTCTTTTTGACTGGATCTTCAAGCTCAAATGTTGGTGAACTGGTATCCAACAGTTGTGAAACATTTGGCACAAATATGAAGGGCTTAAAAACAGATCTTGAAGAAAAAGTCATAAAATTGGCTGGTGGGGATAGCAGGGATAGGAAAATATTTAGCACTATTCTATATCTTCTAAGATTCCCTGTAGTTAGAAGTTCCTATTAATTTCTTACATACTAATTTTTCCTGTCATACTAGTTACATCGATGTCTGTCCTGGTACATTAGCTCTCCTTTGGGGCTGGCATCACACTTATTTAGCCCTATATTTCCATTAACCTCACAAAGGACCTGGTGGTGTCAAGTGAAATTATAGTACATCATCTCCTACAACAAAAACCCTACTGTTGAAGGGTAAAAACAATCCTCAATGTTACAGATAGAGGATTAGGATCTGGAATGAACTCACAGCAGCAGTATTAATAAGGTGTTCCCAAGTCTCACTCCATCTTCTTGAAATTATATTAACATGAAAGACTATAACACTAGGAAATAGTGAATATAAGATCATTTCTCAATGTAACATGCATTTAGTTCTGTGAGAGACATTAATGACTTAAGACAATTTTAACATATCTAAAATCCAATTTTAGATATAACTTCACCTACTGATAGTTTATGTTTTACATGTATGTATTTTCTATATATAAGCAGATAAGTAACCATCTAAATCCAGCACAACTACATCATTTAATCTTCTTACTGTTTTTAATCATCTAATATTGTAATGCTGAAATCTGCAAAAGAAAATAATCTGCTTTCTTTTCTTGACAATTTTAAATATATTTGGGCAAAGGGAGTAAGGATAACTGCATACAAGAAACTATTAACATTTTTGCCCTAAAAAATGAGAATAGTTATGGCAAGAATGCACATATGGAAATGGGAGCCTACAACCTGACCAGAAAATGCATCCAAAAATTGTCATATTTGTGTAAGAAAAGTTTAGCCTGGCATAATCACCAACAGATTGATGACTACCCTAGCCCCTGACCCCTTGTTGGTTTATAGTATTTTGTGATTTTACCTCTCAGGATCAGGAGTCCCTGTAAAGAAGTGAATGCAAGGAAGGTTGGAGTCTTGAGGTAAAATAGAAACCATGCTTGCAGTGGTCAAGAACTCTCCTTCCATATTAATGCCACTTGGTTTATCTCGGAGAATTTCCATCATTGTTTCAAAAGTTATATTTCCTAGGGAAATCATTTTAAAAATCATCAAATACATATGAATTTGGAGGTTGACATATTGCAAACATGAACTGCTTTCTCTGTTGATAATATATAACATGAGATATTCGTCTAGGGATAAATTAGAGATTGACTACAAACAAACTTTGTATCATAACTATTAGACTAGTCTCATTCCATTATCACAAGGAAGATTTCTTTAAAAATATAAAATACACTAAATCTCAAAACCATTATTATCAGGTACAAATCTGTAACTTCCTAAGAAGAAGAAATCAGAAATGCAAACTACACTCAATCTTGTACAAAAAATTCTAAGGTATGTTTAGTTAGCAGTGAACTGCCAATATCAATAACTATTATCTGAGTCTATCCATTCTGGAAACAAAATATTAAAAGAATATAGTCCTTGGTTTCCAATATTATACAAGGTGTTCCTTATAAAATAAAATAGTCTTTTTCCTGTAATTTCTGTGGCTGATACTAATACTCTTATCTAAAAGTGTGAATTGTAACCTGAGTGGGAATGAAGGAATCAAAACACATTATTTACTAGTTAATGGGATTTTAATGAACATAAATTTGCTGGACTACTTAAAACATTTAAGCGCCCACTGTGTGTGATGAAAACAGATGGCATTATATTTTGTTTTCTGCTTTCGTATATATAGTTTAATATTTTAAGGAGTTTTTTATTTTAGAAAAAAAACCCTTTTATCTCTTTAGCAAACACAACATGACCATGGTTATAGAGAACCTCAGAGTTCCATATTTGCAAGGCATTTCCACCAAAAAATTTTAAAAACCAATTGTGCCTTCAGACATCTCTGCTCCTTGCTATACATATCCATGCTCAAGGATGTGGTTCATGATCTAATTACCTCATGACAAGATGAAGACTCTTACCCCCTGCACAATGCAGTCCTCCAAAAGCAGCCCAAATATCTTCTACTCACGTCATAATTCTCTTCCCTAAAATTTGACTCTCAGTTCCCTCTGAATCAAATTAAAGCTCCTTCATTTTTAAAAAGTATTTATGTTTTGAGAAAGAGAAAGAGAGAGCACGAGCCGGGGAGGGGCAGACAGAGAGGGAGAGAGAGGATCCCAAGCAGGTTCTGCTAAACAGGATGAACCATGAGATCATATCCTGAGGCAAATGAAGAGTCAGACACTTAACAGATTGAGCCACCCAGGTGCCTCCAAACTCCTTCAAATTAAAACTTATCATTAAGATTAACTGAAATAAGCTTTTCCTTTCCTATAAGCATTCCTGATTTTCTGCACATATAGGTTCTATCTCTATCACTAGATTATAAATTCTCTAAAGACAAGAATGGAGTTTTTCTCTATTTAGTTCTCATTCATTCAACAAATACTTACTGAGCATCTACTAAATGCCAGGCACTGTCCTAGGAAATGGAAAGATAGACAGGCAGATTGATAATGATGCACTTTGCCACAGATATGTAGCTCTGTGAATGTAAAGTGAAAGTCCCCTGATCCAATTTCAGTTGGAGGTAACCAGTTACAATTCAGAAAGGATCTTTCATGAAGAGTTTCAGAATAAGCTTAAAAGCTTTCATACAAGAAATTCTCATTATCAAAAGAAAACTGGTACAATATGACAGCCATTTAAAGCAACACATTGAAGTGCTCGCTTCAGCAGCACATATACTAAAATTGGAGTAATACGGAGATTAGCATGGCCTCTATGCAAGGGTGCAAATTCATGAAGCATTGCATATTTTTTCTTATTCTTGGGATACAGAAAGAGAAAATTTTATTTTTATTTTCCGTTAAAAATTTTTAAAAATTTATATATATATAATTTACATATTTTAATATATATTTTTATATTATTATATATATTTATATATAATATACACATAACATATAACATATATATTTTCATATATTTTATATATAATTTATACATTTTTTAATTTTTTGTAAGTTTTTAAACGTTTATTCTTTTTAAAAATGTTTAAATTTATATATATTTTCATATATTATATTTATTTATATTTATATTTTTTATACTTACATATAATTTATATATAAATATATATTTATTTTAATTTTATATGTTTTTTATTTTTTGTAATTTTTTAAACGTTTATTCTTTCTTAAAATTTTTTAAATTTACATCAAACTTAGCATATGGTGCAACAATGATTTTAGGAGTAGATTCTTAAATAATTTTTAAATTCTATTTTACTTTCTTCATTTCATTTTATTCTATTTTATTGCACACATTTAAAAAATTTTTTTAACATTTTCTTACTTTTTTTTTTTTTCTTTCCTTTTATTCTCTATTCTAACAAGCTTCTTTCAAAACCAGGCCAAAACATACCTAGGATCTAGCTTCTTTCATTTGATTTTTTGTGATGTTTTTAATTTTTTAATTTTAATTTTTTTATTAATTATTTTTCTTCCTCGAAAATGACAAAATGAAGGATTCACCTCAAAAGAAAGAAAAGGGAGAAATGACAGCCAGGAACTTAATCAACACAGATATAAGCAAGATATCTGAACCAGAATTTAGAATCACGATAATAAGAACACTAGCTGGGGTTGAAAAAAGCATAGAATCCCTTTCTGCAGAAATAAAAGAAGTAAAATCTCGTCAGGACAAAATTAAAAATGCTATAACTGAGATACAATCTCGAATGTATTCCACAGCATCAAGGACAGATGAAGCAGAGCAGTGAATCAGCAATATAGAAGACAAAATTATGAAGAATAATGTAGGTTTATTCCAAGGATACAAGGCTGGTTCAATATGTGAAGATCAATGTAACTTACCATATTAACAGGCTGAAGAAGAAAGAGAATCATATCAGTTGACACAGAAAAAATACCTAATAAACTTCAACATCTATTCATCACAAAACCTCTCAGCAAACAACAAATGGAGAGAAACTTCCTTAACTTGATAAAGTTAAGAATCTACAGAAAGCTACAGCTAACACTACACTTAATGATAAAAAGACTACGTCCCTGGGTAGCTCAGTTGGTTAAGCATCTGACTTCAGCTCAAGTCATGATCTCGCAGTCTATGAGTTCAAGCCCTGCTTTGGGCTCTGTGCTGACATCTCAGAGCCTGAAGACTATTTCAGATTCTGTGTCTCCCTCTCTCTCTGCTTCTCCCCTGCTTCTGCTCTGTTTGTCTCTGTCATAAAAATAAATAAACATTAAATAAATTTAAAAAAAAAAAGAAAAATTCCATAGAGGACAAAATTAACCATTATATTTTTAGTTTTGTATTTATTCCAGGTATTTTTCTTTTTCTCTCCTTCCTTGCCCTCTTTTGAATTTTTCAAGTAATTATTATTTTACTTCTCCCCGTTAGCTTATTGTTTATACATTCTTTTATCATTTTATTAGTTTCTCTTATTACAGTTTGCCTTAAATTAATTCTCAATTAACCCAAGGTCCTTACAACACTTTAACTCCAATTACTGCCTACCATCTTTTGTGCTATGCTCAGACATTTAATTCTACTGTGTTTATCTGAGTCTTTTGAGAAGCAGATGCCACAACATATGGTTAAATGTAAAAGGACTTTATTAGAGAAAATGACTACGAGGGGAAATGCCTGTAAGAGAAAATGGGGAGGAAGCTAGACTATGATAGAATTCTCAACCTGGGTCTGGAAGGATGAAAGGGAAGAAAAGTTGAGTTGGAAGTGTCCTTCCAACTAAGAAAACTTTTGCAAGCTATCAGGGGGTCCTTGACCCAAAATCAGCCACTGAGGGAGTCCTATGATCCCAGGAATGGAGTCTCCCTGCCACTTTCAGTCATTGGCAAGGAGCAGCCTGTGGGAAACATAGTCTCAATACGACACAAAATCCATGCACAACAGATTGTGAACACTGTAGCTATGGCCATTGATCATAAAATTATCATTTAAAATTTTCAATACCATTTAGTTTTACTCATGTATTTCCTGTTTCTGTTGCTCTTCATTCACTCCTGCTTACCTTGCATCTATATGAGATCATTTTTCCTGCCTGAAAAATGACTCCACTATTTCTTCTAGTACCAATTGGCTAGTGACAAATTTTGTTTTATTTCAACTTCATTTTTGGAGATTTTCACTGGTATAGAATTCTAAATGACTAGTCATTATTTGTCTTCATCTCTTTAAAGGTGTCCTTTAAAGTCTTCTGGATTCTTTCCCATCTATTAAAAAGCTATCAGTCAGTCCTATATTTGGTCCTTTGAAGATAATATACATCTTTTCTCTCACTGCTTTTAAGATTTTTCTCTCTGTTGGTTGTTATTTGGTTGGGTTTTTTCCTTTAGAAATCTTACTATAATGTGCCCAGGTATGGTTTCTTTTTATTTATTCTTGTAATTTGTAGAGTTTGAAGCTGTGGCTTAATGACTTTTACTAGTTTGGGAAAATTCTTAGCCAGTATCTCTTCAAATATTGCTTTTGCCTCTCCATACTCTCTGTCCTTTCCTGCAGGGACTCCAACTGCATATATGCGAGACCTTTTCACCGAGTCTGAGATGGCTCTCACACTCTTGTCTATATTTTCTAAACTATTTTCTAAACTCTTGTCTATATTTATCTCTCTGCTTCAATCAGGAGAGTTTCTAGTGATCTTCCAGTTCATAATTTCCTTTGCTATGTCTAATCTTTTATTAAACCAATACATTGAATTCTTAATTGCAGTAATTAGAATGCTATAGTTCTATTATTTTCATTTGATTCTATTTATAGATTCCAGTTCTCTGATGAAAGTCTCTGTCTATTCATCTCATTTTCTTGAACATATAAAACATACTAATTTAGGGGCACCTGGGTGGCTCAGTTGATTAAGCGTCCAACTTCAGCTCAGGTCGTGATCTCGCGGTCTGTGGGTTCGAGCCCCGCATTGGGCTCTGTGCTGACAGCTCAGAGCCTGAAGCCTGTTTCAGATTCTGTGTCTCCCTCTCTCTCTGCCCCTCCCCAGCTCATGCTCTGTCTCTCTCTGTCTCAAAAATAAATAAAC